CGACACTTTTCGTTCCGATGCTTAAAGTTTTATAAATGATTTATAAATATTCTAAGCAATAGCAAGGTAGTACATGTATCTACGGTGGCATAAAAGGGACACATGATTTCCATATTTATGACGTGCGCACGCGATAGCTATTACCGGTACCGTTGGCCTAGTGGTTAAGGCGTCCGCCTTCGGATCGGGAGGTCGAAGGTTCGAGCCCCACGGGGAGCGTTAATTGAAGGATGAATGTTTCTCGTGGGACTCGTTCCGAAATGGCCGCTTCGTGAGCCGCGAGGTAGTTAAAATGAATGGTTACCGATTTCTATCCGCCTGGCGCCTTGCATAGTGGTAGGAATTGGGAGGTACAAGGTATGCAACCAAAAGGTGTCTCATAAGTCAAAATGGCTGGCCCTTTCAGTAGGGGTGACACTATAATAAACAAGACCTTTACCGTTACCTTTTTTTACGTGGGCACGCGATACTATTACGAGTGCACGCGAAAGATATTACTATCTAAAGGGATAGTTATTGCGTGCGCACGCGATAACTATTACGTGCGCACGCGGTTAGGTATTGCATTTGGACACAAGACGGGCTTCCTCGCATGAATAGTTCGACGCCCCGAGTGAGTGTCGGACCTAAAGCGGTTAGGGACAAGTGCTTTTTTGAAATCACTCGGCAAGGGAGGCCCCTAAATTATCTAAGGAAGACAATGAGTAGATCATCTCACACTTATTTTGTTTTATCAGAAATATATATAAAAATATCGCCATTTTCCGAAAATTGCTGCTTTCATATCCGCCATTGAAAAGGCACTTACAACGTGCATGTGTTTCTAAAAGAATCCGGGTAATGCCATAATTATGGAATATCGGGCCTCACAGGAACCGGGCGAAACGCGACAATCCGACGAGACACGAAGCGAGGCACGATATTGTAACACGAGATCTCGCAATGTCGAAGTTTCCCGTCCCATGAGATTTCACGGTAGAATATTGTGCCTCGTGATTTGCCGGAATTTCGCTTTTCGTGTCTCTCGGTAAAATATTGCGCATCACTTCGTGTCTGTGCCTCTATGATAAAGGAACCAGCGCGGGAGACCTTGGCTTTGTTCCGTGATGGCGGATAGGTAATTGGACACTATTTTTTCACCCTGCATGGCCATAGACATCTAAATTTAAGTTTTTCTGTGTAAATTTCATCATGGATATGCTTTTTTGTACTTTTAGTAGAAAAATTGCAAGCAAAGGTTGTATTTGATAAAATAAATTTCAATTTTAGTTTTGTTGGTTCCTCAAAGTTACAGCAGAGTGATTTTTATGTGATTTTACAGTACCAAGTGTGATGCTAGAAAATTTCCTTGGAAGATACATTACCCCTACTTTTCTCATGTTTAATTCAGTTTAAGCATATTTGTTTAAAATGAGAAAAGTGTTTGTTCTCTAAAATGGGTCTAGTTATGTTTTGTAGCTCATTGCAAATGTCAGTTTTATATAGAATATAAAGGGAATATCATTTAGCAGTATATGGCCTGGAAAGATTTTCTTGTCTCGCGTCGACGTATGAGATGCGAAGTGAGATGCGAGATTCCTGCGAGATGCAAAACGAGTTGCGATATTGTTTCGTTCAAATATCGCCCGATTACAGTGTTCCGTTTGGACATGAGTAACATTTTTTTGTCTCCCTGAACCGCTATGCATGATACAATGGTGAAAGCACGATGGCACGATATGATGAAACAATGATAGCACTACATGGTGAAATCACGATTATGCGATGACACGATGGTGAAAATAAAATCGCGTTTTCGTCACCATGCCAACGCAGTTTCATCATCGTACCATCGTATTTTCACTATCGTAATGTTGTTTTATCATCGTACCATCGTTGTTTCACCATCGCACCATCGTACATTCGTTTTTTCAAAATCGTATCATCGTGTTTTTACCATCTGGCCATCGCGTTTTCATAATCGTACCATCGTGCCATCTGCCGGGGAGAAATTAGTGACAAAAACTCATAAAAATTAATGACACGAGACAAATTAATGTGGTTTCTTGTCCCTTAAAAACATGAGACAAATGTGCTTTCTTGTCCCTTAAAAAACTTGATCGGTGCAAATTTGTCACACAATTCAGTAATTTTGGTAGACACTTGAGGTCCCATTTGTTTCATGTGGAACAAATGTGACTGTATCGGTCTTACGTTAGACAAATGTGTTCCGAGACAAATGTGCTCCTACAAGGCTTCATGCCCTTTAATCCACTTTCAAAATGTCATTTATTTAGTTTTCCTCGATATTTTTGCGTTAAGGATATGCTTTCCTGTACTCTACACCGCTCATGAACCGAACGTGTCACATTGTGGGTTCCACGATGACTGCTGTTCGAATACATTGTCGGACGTCTTTGTATGATATTTATTAGTCTAATGAAATATTTTCATAACTTCTAATAACATTAATTCAACTTTCCCTATTTCTATAACAATCATCATCATCATCATCATCATCATCATTTATGTCATCTTCAATAAATTACCATGATTTATTAGACATAATGATTTTTTGTATGATAGTCTTTATCATTAAAATATTGCATAAACATAAAAAATGATAGATTCAACTGAAGCTTATGTTTTGTAAGTACCATCAAAGTTATTATCCAGTATTGGTCATATGCAGGTTGTTCATCACAGGCCACTTCCATAATATGATCATCTAGTTCCTATGATCTCTCTTAACCCAGGAATGACTGCCATGTTACAATGCTTCTGTCTCAGAATGGAAGACAACCACTCCCACACGATTCCCCCTTGCGGATATAAATTTGCCATCATTTATTTTTTATAACAGGTGCTGTAAGCTAAAACTTACCGCAGGCGGGGGTTTTTCTTATGGTTTCATGCCTGATAAATCCCCAGTCTGTTGATCAAGACTACTATCGACAAGATCCGGAAATTTATATCCGCAAGAAAGGATCGAAGCCTTTGTTTTCGATTCTGAGCCAGAAGCGTTGTTAAATGGCAGTTATTCATGAATTAAGAGAGATAGGAACTGGATAATCGTAGTATGGGAGTGACCTGAGAAGTACAACCTGCATTATTACCATAATGACCAATACTGGGTAAGAACTTTGGATGAATCTAACAAAATATTAAAAATTGAGTTTAAATAATCTATACCATATAATGTATATATGTACATGTAATATCTTAATAATAATGACTATCATACACTCAGCAGGGTTCTAGCAAGCCTATTATCGCATGTCGCTTACGACATGCCTTCAGGCATTATCCTGTAATTGCGTCATCCTTTAATCTCCCCGACATCCCTTGATTATCAAAGAAGCACTTGATGCCAGCATTGAATAAACTATCCATTTATACCCAACCAAGCATGTCGCATATTATTATTTTTTTTAATTTAAAATTGTTTAAGCCAAAGAAACATTGAATTGAATATCAGTGTTGCAATAAGCCTTATTGCCAATTTAGTACAGTTATAATACTGGAAACAGAATTGCTGACACTATACAAAAACAAATTGGTTTCTTCACCTTTCTGACATTTTGAGACTCAATTCATCACATGTCTACTAGTTCATCTTCACCTGCTGCATATCTTGCTTAGACGCCCTTTGATGCTTTGCATTAATGCTTTTCTTGTTATTATTTATTCCCTGCGGTCTGGAGACCGCAGTATTCCCTGCGGTCTGGAGACCGCAGGGTATTGGTGCGCGTTTAACTTTTGAGGCATGGAGGAGCACGTGACCTGTTTTCGGTACATGGAGGAGCATGTGATCTGTAAACCGTACATGATTTGTTAATTAACCTTTTCGAAATCCTAGCTGAATACCGTTTGCCGGTACGTTACGGATTTACCTGTAGGGAATTAATCCGAATTACCCCTAATTAAGAACAAAAACTATTACGTGATTTTTTTCTAATTTTCTATAATTATTTTACCGTTTAAGGTGGAAAAACTTGAATGATGTGTTTGAAAATTATCAATGTTTCTTTAATATCTATATATTTTTTTTGCAGTTTGTAGACGTATTTTTCATAAATGATTGATACTTTTTTCAAAATAATAATTATTATGATGATTTAATATCAAATTATTTGCATAATTTCTATGCTGTATACAAGGACAGAGATCTTCTTTTCGATGACAGAGAACAATACAAAAGTGATTTATTCAGACGACTGTGAGTGAGAGGAAATAAAAGAAAAATATTAAATGTAGCTTTTAAATTAAATTTGTAGTTTGTAGATGTATATTATGAAACTAAATTTGTTTTGGTTTATTTCTTTAAATCATTAAGATGATTTAATCTTCATTTATTTGCCTATATGTTTATACAATAGCTGAGACATCTATCTTCCTTTCCATCATTGTGAGCCTGACGAAAGTGACTTATTGAATATCAAATATTATTATGTCCCGATTTTCTGAAAAAACATAGCTTCAATATTTTGTCCTATGATCATTAAAGTTGGTAGGGAAGTTGATCATAATACACACATAACCCCTATTGATTTTAAGATCAGTAGGTCAAAGGTCACTAACAGAATTATGAAGGGGGATATTTCGTGTTCTACGAACTTTTGTTCATAATATACACACAGTGCAATTTTTGTGCCCTCGTGTATATAAAATTTTCATGTATGATGGCCACAACACGTAACCAGGTACGTATAATAACATATATACCTGACGTAACTATGCAAGGTCAAAGGAAGTTAAAATTCCTTTTTTCCTGCATTAGATATGGCCCTTCCTTACTTTTTATATTGTTAACATATTTCACAAGTTGTGTAACTTCAATTACTGACTTTATATAACAAAAATTCTACTGCCGGCGTATACATATCTAACTTGTTACTATTTAACATATATTCCATGATAATGTTAAATTCGTCAGCTTATTCGTCAACATTTAAGAACCGCCCCAAAAATTAGTGATGTTATACCCAAGATAATTTGATGTTTTTGTGCCTATCGATTCAAGCTTTTCAGTGACAGTGATATTCATGAAACCGCGTTGCCAGACGATTGAAGTTTTTAAGAGGGTAAATTTGAAGAGGAGAAAACATTTCAAAGATGGAATCTCTCACTTTAAGTCTCAAAGATGTACAAAAAGGTCGATATATTCAACTACACTTCCACTTTCATTTTTAATTGATATCATCTTTACTGGGATCCTTCGTATGATTACCGGACAAAATATGATGTTTTTTCGCTGTATTTTTTTTTAAACCATTATCCCGGGACAACCAATATTCAATCAGTTAAACAGTCTATGCGAAAGACTTCTGAGTTTTACTGGACAGTAGGTCCTGTAAACTGAAAATTTTTACTGGACCAAACATGATTTTACTGGACCGAAAAAAACCTGATTGGTATAGCATTTTGAGTCATTTGAGTGTCAGCAGTCAAAAAATTTGTGTACAAAAAGAAAATTGTATTATCAACGAAGTGAAGTTATCTTTTTTCACCACAATCAAAATGTAAACATAAATATTGTTATACATGTGATCAATGGATTTTGCTATTTAAACGTTAATTTCATACAGACTATATACTAGCAAAATGAGAGGGTAAATTTCAGCAAAAGTCTGGCATATGTAAACAGAATTATATATATCGGTAATTTAGTGAAGTTGACAGATTAATTGTTCAATGATTTTGGTACCTTCACAGTATAGTTTAATTTTTGTCAACATCTTGGACGATCTTTCATAGCTAAACACCAGTTGAGCACACATGTAATTTAACATTTCTCTAAGTCTGTGGATTAAAGACGTAAATTGTTCCAATTAATTCACTGACGCTTTCATCTGTGTAAACAAACTAATAGCGGTTGACCTTTCACATCTGGGCCGCTTATGTAATTTACATGGCCGCTTATTGACTTTTAATTGTACTAGTTGTCGGATATTTTTATCTTACGTTGTTACATTAAAGTTTGCATTATGAGAATGCATAACAGTTGACAAGCATTGCACGAGCTTATATTGTGTAATGACAACATTTTGATTTGTTTTGAATGTAGGTAAATGATCGGCCTTTGCAAAATGTTGAATGTAAGGTTTTTATAAATCCTTAATTTTTACCGGACCGTCGGGCCGTCAAAACATATATTTTTATCGGACCTTCTGATTTTTTACCGGTCAGGGCCGACGGTCCGACGGTCTTTCGGAAAGACTGAGTTAAACTGTTTTTAGCCAATGATAAATGGAAGGGGAAATTATACTTTAAATTTATTTTAGCTATTAATACATCTATTAACACTTATTCATTTTCAGGTTGGTACATTTTCAACAAGTCTTGATCTTTCTTAGAAATTCAAGAAAAACAATATGACCCACTCGGGTTACTCCCAGGAATATTTTAACCTAAATTCAAACAGCAGGGTAGATCTAATCCCATGGAAAATTTGTTAAAGATAAATCAGGGCCACTAAAAATTGTAGAAAACTTCACAATAGTCTATTCAATGATTTTCAACAGTTTTTTCAAGATTTTAAAAAACTTACACTAAATGTTATAACATATGTACAGCACAATGCAGTGGTATGACTGCTGTTAATGTGTATATAAAGGCAGTTAAAGGTGTCACTTCTTAGTACGCTATTTGGGGTGAAAAATGATAAATGCATCCAATCTTTACAGCCATTATACCTTCCCCACTTTATAATATTATCAAATATGGAAACTTGTCTAGATCTGCCAGCTGGTATCGCTTACAAAACAATTATTCTACAATCATCACATGAAAAAATTTGATAACAATATAAGATTTTATTAATAAGGACCCCCGTGTAAAGTCTGATGAATATTTTGTGGTACATCATATAAATAAATGTTTTAAATACACCTAGGACTGAGGTAAATGGTAAAACTCTTTAGCCATTACTTTATAAAAAAAAATAACTTGCTTAGAAAAATTTTACCATTATTTTAAACAAGTGACTATTTTGATATAGTGAAAGTTGGACAATTTATATTGTGTCACTTAAAACAAACAGTTTCTTATTGTTCTTCTAAAACATCTGACAGTAAATCAAGTGTGGCATTTCTGCAAGTTTTGAAGTTAATACAACATGTGACTTTATGCAATTTAGTCACTGGCCTGACATCAATGCCACAGAATTAAGAATGTGTTTGAATTTAGGTTGTGATTGAAAATTGGTTGTTTCGGAATATTTAATGTCATTAAACATGTTAAAATCAAATGGGTACGGCTCATTGAATTTTCACAAATATGTATTTGATGGTAGAAAACATTTATCCTAAGTCAGAAATGGATTCTAAATCCATTCCCATTACACTGTACTGGCATGCGAGCAGTTCCCGTACAAAAATCATAGTTACCATAACATTATTTTTTATTACGCTCACTCACCAAAATTTGAATTTTACACATCAATATTCGGCTCGTCACACAAATCATGGAAATTCCAACATGTTCTAAACATAGAATAACCCTTACTTATGAGGCCTCAAATGGGGTACCGAAATTATCCATTATTTTGTATGAAGAGAAGTAGTTCCCGTACATAAAATCTAACCCATTATAATTATACAATTTTATTATATCGGACCTTTTTTTCATTTACAATTGTTGAACAGACCAGTATCTAAGAGATAAATAGATGTAATTCAGGAAATAGAATGTAGACTAAACGCTGGTATCTATTACCTGGTACCGTTACCCCAACGCATTTACATGCAATAGCATGCTTGTATGGATGATATTTTACGCATCAAAGCCATAAAATTATTTTATATAGTAATATTGGTCAAAATAATGATAATTAAACAAGTTTTCATCACATTGCCTACTTATCTGTAAACAGGTGGTATTAGTGGAAAACCCTTTAACAAGCCTCATGTGTAAGTATTTTTGCTCATGCGCGCAAGGACGGAATCCCCCAGAGAAAACAAGGTCACGTTTTGACGACGCACAGGTGAAAGTGATTTATAATGAGATTTTTTATACGTACTGCCAAACTGACACTTACATTTTGTTTTGTTTATGTATCTGCTTGATTTGAAATGAATTTTTGAAGAATGCAAGTAAAAATCAAGCGTTTAAATGAAAAATACCGGTACTGCTTCTGTACGGGAACTGCTCGCATGCCAGTATACTAAAATATAGACAAGGGTAACAACTCCCATAAGAATCGGGGTTTTTGCCTCGCAGTTTTTTTTTTACGATACAGCATAAATAAAAAGGAATTATGCAATATGTAATTGAATAATTTATCTATTGCACCAATGTAAAACTTTACTTATCTGTCTTATACCTAACGAGTACTGGCCGCAAAGTAACAAAAACTATCCATTTACGCAAGGTCTACATCGATCGTGGCTACGCAGGAAACACAAAGTTACACAACTGTTGCAATCATTAGAGTGACAGTGTGTTTCCAGACCATTCTATTTGAAACATCCTGCCCATCTAAAAGATTACTTTTGATTACTCACACAAGTTTTGCATTTCAGGCGTAAAAATTTTTCCCATTTTCTGGCACTGATGTTTTCAATCATTCTTGTTTTGTCATTTCAGCAAAATGCAATTTAGAGAGTCGCCTCAATGAGAAAAGACGGTCAAGAAAGAATATTGAAAATGTTTTAGAGACAGGTAATGTTTTGTAATTATAGATGAAAGACTCTAAATGTAGACAAAATGTGACATTGTGTTTTTGAGAATTTCTCTTGTTGAAAAGGGAGGATAAGAGAATTCTTTTTATGGCACAATTGTAACAAAACTATTAACAAAAGTTAGAAAACATATAAGTTTGTTGAAATTGAAATTGCCTTTAAACATTAATTCAAAGATATTCAATGAGAATACATATACAGCTACCAGCGCCTTTTTTACCATTTTGTAAAGTCCAATTTACAATTTGAGGACAGCAAAATGCCAGCTAATTTCTATTAAAAAACTTTCTATATTCACAATCAAAAATTTCTTTGATATAACTTCAACAAAACAGTAAAGAAAATTTTCAAGTTAGCAGCATCACTGCTTGCCTTAAAATATTCCAAATAACTTACAATAATGAAATCAGAGTTATTTAAATAATGATAAATAAATACAGTGATTTTTTTTATCTAATAAAGAAAAAGAATAGAGTTTGTAAAGTAATTCCTTGGCAGCTTTCATATTTTGTATTTAAATTTATTTACTTATTCATAATTAACATTTTGTTTTTCATTGTGCACTGAATCTAAATGACATTTCTATTTCTTTTTACATGCATACTCTCAGTTTTTGTATACTCTTTAATATATGTTTTATCAGCGTTTTTTTTCTCTACTTTGGGAATGGTGCCGGTACCAGACTGATTGGGAAAAAATGTGTTATTTTGACTAAAATTGGGAAATTTTTTAATGCATTTTTTCAGCTACAAATGAGATTAGACATCATGAATAAAGATAGCTTACAGCTTCTACTGTCTAGATAGAACTTATTGAGTGGTGATTTATATGAATATGTTGGATTTAAATGATTTTAGAAAAATCACTTTGCCTTGTGGGCATTTTGAACAGTCATTTTGGGAATTTAACATTGGAAATTGGGATTTTTAATGTCCATTTTCTATTGGGAATGGTACCGTTTTAGGGTAGTAGTTATATAAAGAAAAAGAAACACTGTTTATACATGCATATGGATGTTACAGTTATTTGTGTTAGTTATTTGTATCATTATTGTTTTCAGTGAATTCGAAGCTAACACAGATTAAAAATATCCACACTAAAATGACAGGTAAAATTGGTTTATAAAAATATCTTATTCTAAAGATATGTCTACATGTGAAGTATATGTTGAATTAAGTATGACCAGCATCTGGCCGTCAAGGCACAAATAGTAAATCATTGCTGTCAAGTAAAGACCCTGGGCATGTCAATACTCATGCCTTTAAAAATCTGAATATGAAGCACAAACTGGTCATAATTTACCTCCATGCAATTTACACAGAATATTAGCATAAGAAATGTATTTTGATCGCTGAAATGATATCAGTTCAATAACCTGATTCTTTTACCTTGATCACTTTACATGCATGTTGTTATGTTGTATGGATGATAACAAGATTCAAGCTAATCTACTATTTATTATAACCATTTAAAACATGTTGTTTAAGACCAGAGCTCCAGTGAGAATGCCAAGTATCAGAGAGGCATGATTATATATATATAACATATTAACATTAATGAATATAAAGTAAAGGGAAGTAATCCCATTAACTGTACAACTAAACATGTTAAAAGTTATCTGATCTTAATATCATAGCACATGTCAGTATAATTCTGGGCAGATCTTATAGTAGACAGGCCATTCCTGCCACTGACCAGTTGTAAGATTTAATTTGATAACTTACTACATGTAAAACAGAAAATTTATTACAATTCTGGAGTTACTAGGTAACTGTAGTCGATTTGTACTTGGGACACAAGTTTCATTTTATTTTTACAGAGACATTAAAGATAGCACAACATAAAGTTGCACAAACACAAGCCCAGTCTGACAGGTAATAAAATAAATTTATAATATAATACATTATATACAGATCTTATCAGGACATTGTAGTAGAACTGACAGCCTGGTGAATCAGACAAAGTGCCTTTATTTTTTACTCTGTTTCTTTTTTATTTATTAATATCAAGGATTTTAGTGTTGTTTTTTTTTAACATTTACATTTCATATTCATGCTAGGCTGTAAATATTTTAGTTCTTAAACATATTAAACTTTGATCTTTTGCTGGAATCTACTTTAATTGAGGTCTTTTTTTATCTACATGTATTGTCATCACAGACCCTCATTACTTGAGAACTGGCCATATATGACACTTCGATATATGAATGCAATTACTTCCACATTTGAATTAAATAGTACATCTAAATAGGGAAGCCTTCTTTACCATTATATACTAAAGTCCCTGTCTGGTTTTAATTTGCATTCTTTTAATAAACAAACAATTATCTATTAAGTATATTTACAGCATGGAGAAAAGTAATGGTGAGAAGAGACAGGCACTACAATCTGTAAATCAACAAATAAAACACCTACAGGATTCAAGAACCAACGAAATGTAAGTTACCGGGGTAATATAGGTTTTATGAGTCACTTTTCACTTTTAAACACAGTTTAAATAATACATGTCAATTTTTTTTTCAAGATAATCAATGGTAGGAGGAAAAAGGCAGATGATTCTGCTCTGTTAAAGATTGTTTATCTAAGATTGTATTGTGTATGCATCTAATAGTTTATGGGTGATATGGAAAAGAAGCTTACTGCAATTATGTAGTTTTTGACAACAAATTTTGAAATAGAAAAAAAATGCATCAGTTTGTATCGAAGGGCCTGTCCCAGTGAGACTTGCCAAAATGAGATAAATGATATCTGTATACATGTGACAGGTATCAAAAGAGATAATTTAAATTACGATACTTCAGATGAGATATGAAATAGAGCCCTTATCAGACTTTAAAAAAAATGTGTTTGTGTGTGTGAAATACCATGGCTGTCCTTGCTATATTTGTACATTAAGTTAAATATTTATAACCTGGCATGCAGTTTTTAAATAATCTTTCACATAATGTCAAGTTTTAAATTAAATTATAGTCACAAGTTTGAGGAAGAGTTGAGCAAGATGGCAAAGCAAATGGTGAATTCTAAAGATGCTTATGTAAGTGTGATTTCAAAAGTAAACTTAAGGCAAAGCTTCCTGGATTAAGTCCCAAAATAATAGATGCAAAATGACTGGAGGTAAAGAAGGAAAATGGTTGTATTTTGGAAGTCACAAGCAAAAAATCAGAAGTAAATGCATGACTCTCAAACTTCCACTAATGGAAGTCTTGCCGAGTATTTAATTTATAGTTCTGCATTTTGTAAATAATTAAAACTTTAAAGGGTATAATACAGAAATATTTCATGAAATATTTGTATACAATTAAAAAAATTTGTTTCCATAGGCCTATAGAAACACAGGTGCTAATTAGCCTCATCCAATATAGGATTTACAGCTGTGTTTCAGTCCAATAAAATCAAAATAGTACTCTATCAACATTAATATATAATTAATTATTTCACACCACCAATTTCCAGGAGAAAACATGTTTAATAAAAGATTAAAATACTCAAAAATTTGCATTGTTTGTTGTATTATATATTGAAGATGCAGTAACTACAATAATTTATTTGATATCTGAGAAAAATTAAAATGAGGCTTTTAAGATAGATTACAATATGGAATTGAAAGTATTTTATTGGACTCGGAAAATAAATACAAGGCCATGCAGGATGGAGTACAATATGCATTTGATGCAGTTGTTTTTGGGCTAAGTTTATAAGATTGAATCCAATTATGATGTACGAGTATATTGGTACATCACATGGCGCAAATACTTAAAGTTCATTTGTTACATTTTATATTAGTTGTGAAATAAAAAAAATATTACATCACTTCATTTTCAGACTGACAAGAATTTATTGGTGAAAATCGCAGGGAGAAAGTCAGAGTATGAACAACTTCTTCAGAAAAGTAAATATGATTTAAAAAAAAAATCATATAGGAATGAATAACAGAAAATTTTAATTACACTGTATTAGGTGCAAGGATTATGTAGATAAAGCTCTAGAAAATAAAATTATTTATGTCATATCAGTTTTCAAAGTTTGTTTACCATAATAATAAATATTGTAATCTTTATTTTTATAATGATACAGCACTTCAAATTTTCTTTGAATATAAAGGGAGGTAAGGAGTATGGTTTTTCAATTTTTGTTTTGGTAGAAAAATTTTTATCATTGCTGATAATATTAGAGTTACAAGAAGAGTATTTTTTCTTTGAAAAACTACCACCAATCTCTACTGTAAGCTTTAACTACATTTCTGTGATTATAGAATTTGAATTATATATTATTGCAGTTCACAAATGATGATATTTATGTTTATACAGGTCGTAAGTTAGAGCAAGAGAAGGTCAATATGTCACAGCGTTACCAGGAACTTGAGCAGAAATCAACACCTGAAATAGTTGATGAGGATATAGACAGGCAAGCTGTGATGTAAGTTGTTATTTATAAATCATTTAAGTTAGTACCATTAAGGTGACAGATTCTTTCACATTTTATGTTGACTTTCTTGTTTTACTAAATACATCACAGTAGTTGGATATACATGAATAATCCTAGATGCTAAATTTACGCATTATTTCTGGCACCTTGCTTGAGTTGCCTAACTTTACCCTACAAATTGTTCTCTTGAGATATATTTGTTGTTTTATGGTTGATATAACCATCTTACCCAAAACAGAAGTATGTAATGTATCTCAGAATTTACTTATAGCATCAAAATACTTTGACTACAACAGTACTTATTGGAACAACCAGCCTCCTTTTAGCTGATTAAGATAGTTTTCTGATTTGTGTAAAATATCAAACGTCCCATTGCGGCCAAACCCAAAACAATAAGAGGTAATTTAAACACTAAAAAATAAAAATGGACAGTTTGTTTTCTTGTAATTAAGCAGGATTTACTCAGTCTTTAAAAAGTTACATAATTTAAGTCCTTTTTATTACATGCTTTTCGGTGGTTTATAGAAATATATCAGTGATATAAAACTGGTAATTTCACTGTTTGAAACAGTGAAATTACCACTTTGATAATTTCACTGTTTTGAACTTAAGCCCCTTACGTTGTTTCAGTGAAATACCAGTGTGCACAGTACTGGGTACCAACTTAATGACGTGATGTCGTAAATGACGTCACGTTGTATTATTATTTGGCGGGTTTATCATTCAGTATAAGGTTTAATGTCTTTTTAAAACGTTTCCGGGCATGAAACGAAAAGAAAATTTGTTTAGTTTAGTGTAAGATTGAAATATATTTCACCTTGTGAACACCAAAAGTTCATATTTCACGAGTGGCGCGCCACTCGTGAAATATACCTTTTGGTGCTCACTCGGTGAATACATTCCGATCTTACACTGAACTAAACAAATATCCTCTATTTCTCTCATTAAATTAGTGCTTATAAAGAAAGAAAAAATCCTTTAATTTGTTTACTCTCTTAAAAAGTGCTTCTGAAAACATGATTTTGAAACAAAAGGATGACAGCTGCTTATATGTATGAAAGAAATTTGATATTTTCAACAAAACTTTAATTCAGTACCTTAGACAAAAAAAAATTTTTGCTCTTATAGTGCCACTTGAACCTTATTGGATTTCACATAACATATGTTATTAAAAATGATAAAGCAGCCAAAATTAAGCTTTCAAAGTCTTATTATTAATAACACATTTACAATATAGTTTCTTCATTATTTGTAATAGGTCATATGTGTGTGACCAAAAAAAATGCTTGATAAACAGGGGAAAAGTGCTTGAATTGCGGCTTTGACTGTATTTTTGAACCCTGCAAGGACAGTGTATGAAAAAGTAACACAATATTTCTTGCACAGAATCAAAGTTGAATGCCAGATTTCCTAGACCTTTATCACTTTGCTGTTTGGAAATAATATATTGATTTTCACAGACTTAATTTTGTTCTATATTTTTAGGGATGTTTTTACAGAAGAGCATAATGACAATGTAAAGAACCTTGTAAAACTAAAAGAAGAATTAAAAGTTACCAGAAATAATCAAGGCTGATAAAGCTGAATTGAACTGTATGTATTATATCCCTTTGAAACAAACATTATACCAACTAAAAGAAAAGCTGATTGATTCTGGAAATGTATTTTTTAATAATATCTCCTATGACATTTGTTGTTTATTTTTTCTTTCTAGTTTTGACTTGACTGATTTAGGCTGGTGTGATATTGGATCTATAGTTTAAAGAAAAATCTTTCTGTTTTAGTTTTAATGACTTTTTGTTAATTAACAACTTATCTTTACAAGAATTAAAAAGATATTTCATTTGTTGAAAACAAATAGCAATGTTTATTTCAAGAAATAACAACTTAACATGCATAATTGTGAAAGTTAAGAGAATTTAATTACATTGTTGAGAGAATTAAGCCTGTATTTGGTTTCATCAACACATTTTTACTCTGTTAGAAAATATTTCATTATGTATTCAGGGGCAATTTCTGTTAATAGACCTTTACAAATTAGTGCTTTGACCTTTGTATATCAATATTGACAAAATTATACTCGTAATTATTGTTAATGAATTCAAATGTTTTATGTTACTTGTTGATTTTCCTTTTATGAAATTGTTTAAGTTTACAATAAAATTATTAAAATTGTAGATGTTGTTTTGTTATGTAACATTAACAGTGATATATTATCAACTATCTCTTTGAAAGCTCTCGGCTATATAAAATTATTTGATAAAGTTTAACTGGCTGGACCAGTATTAATCAAAGTGGCATTATACATGTAGTCCCATCCAAGGATGTATAACTTAGTAAAACAGGTGAAAGTTAAAATAAGCCATTCTATGATTTATTTGACATGAACAATAAATAACTAGTGTGGCCCAAGGAAATTTCTAAAAATATCCGTCAGAATTTACCTCACAGTGTAACATTCTATTTATAAAATAAGTGGTGGGGCAGTCCTTTTATATTTTAGAGATATTTGTATTTTTTTCCAAACATTTTCAATATCAACTGTTGATCTAACACCTGATATAAATAACAGTCAACAGTGATCATGATTTCTGCTAGCTTATAGATGTACTGCTCCAACACTGATGTAAATCAGTTAAATCCAATAACCAGAATAAAAAGGGAGCAAACTCTTAAACATCATTTTTGTCTTCAATTGTCCCCCTTAGTATAATTATAGCCAATGCCTCAGCAAAAAAAGGGGGATTAAGTTAAATGAATCCCTATATAATGTATGGAACATTTTAAATAAAAAACAGATATATTTTTTTTTCTTCTAAATTTACCAGAAAATATCCAAGAATAAGCAATGAAAAACAAAACAAACATATTTAATAGCAATAATATTTTATTTTTATCTTTTATGCATTTAAGCACATTTCATACATGTAAAACGACAAATTGTACATTTCTCTTGTAAAATATTATAAAACAATAAAAATTCATAAATACTATTTGTGAATATTTTCAGAAATGTGTTTTGGAAATATAGCATTGTTTTTTTTTTAAAATTCTGAGGCAAAACATGATTTTTTTCTCTTCTAGCTGTAAAATGAACTATTGTATTCGGACATTTAGAACAAATCATTCAAAACCAATTTAATCACATAGATCGCAACATTTATGTATTGTATAAATATTGGGATTTGTTCACTCATAAGTAAAGCCAAAACCTTTTTTTCTAAGTTATAATTGTGTGCAAATCTAAAAAAAAAAGAATTTTTAAATCTTTAACTTGAATCATCACAACAATTTAGTAAAACAAAAAGTAAAATGTTTCCATAAAAAGTTATCACAGACTCGAGCAAACATTAAAAACAACTCCTCGATCACTGACCTGTCCAGGAAATAATCGGAGAAAAAATACTGTGTAATAAATATGCGGGGAATTAGTTTATACTTTAATGGTAGTTAATACTTTTATCTTAGCATAGTTGTTCTGAATTGCTTAAAGCAAATGTATATCATTTAATAAGGAGTACTGTGTTAAAATAACAATACTCATAGAGATGTCTTATCCAAGGTAAATATATGTAATTCAATACTTTGATAATACTGTGTAACTTATAGTAAAACCTCGGTTATTGTAAATAATACATATCCATTTTGGAATCGGGATAAATCATTTAAAGTTAACGAAGATAAACACTAAATACAATCCAAAACTGGTTCCTTTGTGTCATACCATAATCTACAGTTTTGGTCTGGAACTTTCATTTTTTGTTTTCTAAAAAATTAATTCAGTTAATAGATATATTAAACCTGTCAAAGCATATATTATCAGTATTGAACAGCTTATGTTTATATATTCTGTCTTCATTAATGTCGGGACAGAAGTTAGTCTTGAATATCATTATGCAACAATTTTATGTTTGTAAATAATCCATAGATAACAATATAGAATGTTTTACTCAGAAATAAATAACTCTTTCTTTTATTTCATTCACATTTCACATATTATAATGTATGTCTTTTAAAAAAAACGTCTATCACAGATTCATCATCAGTTATTTGTTTGTTTTCCAAAGATAGCATCTAGAAGTGGTTGATATGCGATTTTGGTGACTTGGGAGCCAGCTTTGTTACCGGCCCATGAGTCGTCACTCGATATTGGCTGGTATTGCATGGGGGCTATGGGGCTGTCACGCCAGTTCAACTGTTGTACTAGATCTGTGTATGAAACTTGACCTGATTCATTCATCACCCTGTATAATATAAAATGAAGGATTGAATTATAATATAATGTAATAGTATATTTAATATGAATTGATATGGAAAGTAAATTATTGAATAAATGGAGCGACCTTTAGACCAATTAATTGTACTATGCAATGAGATATTGTGCTATTTTGTGTATGGGCAATATATCCCCTGTACGTACAACATAATTAGAACCTATTCTGTGGTGAAATTTACACCTAAATTCATGTTTCACCTCTCAAAGGTCCATTTCTGGTTTTATCATTGAAGTGAAATTATGACCTTGAACAAAAATATCTCAAAATCTAGCTTTTGCTCATCATAATATTTTGACTAAATGACCTTAAAAGCTTTTTCTTTGCTTTTAATTAGAGGCATGGCAGAACACATACAATTGTGAACTCTCCCACTTTTAGCGGGAGACTCCCACTTTCTTCAGCCATATTTTTGAAGATTTTTCTTAAAATAAAGGGTATTTTCATAAATTAAAGAAATCTTCCTATTTATTATGTCAGAACTTCCTTCTTTGTTTAATGCATATTCTAAAATCTCCCACTTTTTGAAGAAAAATCTTCCACTTGATCATCAAAAAAAGTTCACATGTATGAGAACATTTGCTTTTGTTGACCTGAGACTTAAGATTTGATCTCCATGCAGCTGAAGTAATGTTTGTATATAATATAATTTGAATATAAACTATCATTATATATTTTATATAAACATCATTTTATCGTACAACAGATTAGCTCACTTTTTTAGCTGATATCTTTGATAAACTTATTAAACCAATCGGTACATATTTCTACAACATTCTACATAATAATTAACAGTTTTTGTAAACTTCTATGTTATATTTTATGCCTTTTGTTATATTTCTGTCAAATATAATACTTACAGTGACATTACAGCTCTTAATAAATCATCGGGCAGTGGTACATGGTGGGCCTGGAATACATTTCTAACCATCTCCCCATCAATACATCCTGACCTAAAAATAGCAGTAAAAATTAGATATATCATGTACAAGACTGTTGAATATCAATAAACTCAATACATAACATTGACTTGTAAATCAAAACAGATAATTTAATCAGGACAATACAATCAAAATGGATTATTTTCCTCTTCTACTCTATTCTAAACCAGATAATTATGTACTTTCTTACACAAAACTGTGTTTGTAGCAAAAATGAAAATGTGAAAATGTAATCATATTTCAAATTCTAACTTAGATAATGCAAGACTTAATTTAATTAGAATTAAAGATCATCATTATAATGGATAACATCAAAAGAAAAAGAAAGAAATTAGGGAAAATAACCAGACAGTCATACACAGAACCGTGCAATAAATTTCTTCTTTTTCAATCTGTAATACGAATGCTTGCAAGAGCTAACCAAAGTTTTTTGAGAGAGAATGTATTTTAACTTACTTGTCTTTATCAGCCTGTTGGAATGATTCTATCAATTTAGCAAATCCTTCATAGTTCCTCTTTCTCAATTGTTCTTGAGCAATGGCCAATAGTTTCCTGGTATCCATAGCATCTTCTCCAGATCTGAATAAAAAATAGAAAAAAGATTTAAACATTTTAGAACATGCTGCACGACAAATAAAAATTGTTAAGGTATTTAATACAAGGTCATAAAATAACATACTCAGGTAGATTGTGCTCAGGTAATTTGCACAATGATCCAAATCTAAGGCCTAGTGAAAGCAACATGAGGAAAAGAATGTTTCAATAGTGTAACTTATCTCTTGACAGTGAGTAGCAATTCCTCGACTTTTTATTATTTCAATATTTGAAAAAAAATTTAATGCATATATTAGAACACCGGCATGAGAAAACATCTATTAACATGATACTTCCTTTTTTTTTAATTGATATATTGGATTCTTAAAGAAATTCCATTTCAATGGGTCTTGAAATAAATAAAACATCTGAAACTTGCTATTTACTGTTACCTTTTCATATTTATCTTGAACATTTTAAGGGTAATCCACTTTTTTATTTTTAATGTCAATGACAATGTAAACGTCTTGACATCATTTGAAAAATGAGGGTAAGGGTCGTTAAGATAGTGTAATAATCATTATTTGATTTAATTTATAATTAAATTTTATTAATTTATTATAATTTTTATATATATCTTAGATTTTGTTTTTCTTCAAAAGTTACGTTGAATCACTCACCTTTCACTGTACATTCTAGCCAGTGACATAATCTCGTGGTCGGATATAGATGGTTCAATCTGTCTTAATAAGGCACCAAGCTGCTCATACTGTATGATTCCGGCCCCTGATGGATCGTTACGCATGAAGAATGACCTCACCTCGTCTGGCTTTGACCCAACAGCTTGTCTGATCTTGGATACAATAGCGTCAACATTGGCTTTTGGGAACTGGAGAGAGAAAAAAAAATTTGTGTAATAGTTATCTTGAAACAATCATACTTGTAGTATTCTATTTTCTTCATTGCAACAATAATAATGCTTACATTGAGTAAACTTCCCAAGTATCTTCAATACCTGCATTTTTGTAAATTACTCTAAAGGAGCTAAAATTTATTATTAAAACTGACTTCAAAACACTGTATAAATGCTATGAAAGAGATAAAGTGTTTTTAAATGATAACCTTTGCAGAGAGAGACAGAGAAAACACCTTAGATTTATATAGATTTTAATTCTTGTGCACAAGTAAAATTTTATTATTAAATACATTACTTTAATATGTCTTATTCTTTAATCAAATATGTCCAACTGTTTTTTTTGTTTAGATATATAAGAAAAAACACATCTATTTAATTATTAGTTAAATGTTCAGATAATGTGCTTTAAATTACAAGACCTCTAACTTCTGGGCAGACCACTGGCAGGCACATGATCAGAATGCAAACTGAGAGCAAAGTGTTGAGATTTCAATAAGATTTCAAATGAACTGTAAAATTTGTACTACTGCACAACTTACATCAAATGCCTCGTTCTCCATGTATCTAAATGCATATTCATCAGCATCTATAAGAATGAATCTATGACTGTTGAAGTCCACGTGGGCACCAACATACAGATCATTAGACAGGTAGTATTCGGACATCTTCGTACTGTACAGTGGCTGGTTAGGCTTCTTGATACGACTCCTTTCCAAAAATTTACCTCCAATAATACCTGCAGAGATAACATTATGTTCATGTGTATTAAATAAACGGCCAATACAATTCTTGAGTAATATTTCTATTCTTCTTCTTCAGGTAATTTGTTTTTTTATATTTAATACATGTTGAATTACTGAATTGTGAATTTACTGAAATGACAAGTTTAACTTCCATTCCGAAACTATCCCTATCAATTTTAGGAATATTTCAAGAAAAAGTTGGAGAAAATTCAGCCAACAGTAACGGAGCCTTGGGGAGGGTTGCCTGATTCTAAACTGTATGTACAGAAATTGCAGGGCTATAAAGTTTCTGAGCTTTGTTAATGTCAGCATCACTGCATTTCTTAGAGTAGTAGTTTTTATGATGTTATCCAATGTATTGATGATGTAATTATATGACATCATAATTGTCAATGATGATTTTGATAACAAAATAAAATAAAAAAAACCCCACAGAATACTTCAATCTTAATACTGAAACATTCAACTAAAATTACATAGAAATGAAATTTTAGAAAATCAGATGAATTTAAAAACTCTTCATAAAAATAAAATCCCACAGGATTACTTCAATCTTAACATTAGAAATGAATTTAAAAAACTCTTCACAAGGGTAGCATACCAGAGTTCCTGACGGGTGGTTCAAACACAAGGATTGTGTCATCTGACAGGAAGTAGGAGATGATAAATCTACGGTCCATATCAATGGGTTTAGTTGTATCCATACGGGCCAGGAATCGTAATACGTTACTGTCAAGACCACGTCTATCTTTCTCCATAAACTGAAATAAGAAATCAAATAATCATTATGAAAAATGTATACTAAAAAAAACCTCATATTAAATACATGTAGTTATACTGAATAATGAATAGAATTATAATTATTAGGTTTCTTAAGAAAAATACACAAAAGGTTTTCTACATGAAAAAAAGGATAGTTGTGATTACAGATAATGTCTTGACAAGTTAAATCATGACACTTTAATTATTTGGAAAAGTAGAATATTTTGTCAATTAGACAGGAATTCCTCTGCCAAACCTGTCTGAAAACCTAAAGTCCACTTCGGTAAAACCAGTAGCGGACTAAAAAACTAAGCACTGGTCTACATAAAAGATTCTCAGAGTATTGAGTAAACATCAGTTTTTAAACAGTGAAATATATCAGCATAAAACTCACCTTAATAAAGTCTCTCTTGGGTGGTTTTGGTAGAAGACCCATGCACGAGCAGAGAGAATCTTCCTCACTACCCCAGCCATTGTATGGTGGCCATTCTTTAGGTATACCTCCATATGCATCTTGTTTATACTGTATCCTAGCAAAGTCCTCTGTAAAATGTAATGAATTTATATTTGTTTGTTACTGATTCAACCAAATTCAAAATATTCATCACCAAATTAGTAACCTTCTTAAGCATAATTTTTCTTTGGTCTCATAAACAGAACTGATTTTGACTTATGAACATTCTGACTACGTCTAAAATGAATAAAGCTTGCAGTGTAATGTTTTTGATTTATAATAAACTTTCAATAGCAAACTGAACTTTTGTCTTTGGTCAGTAATATAAGTTTGATGTACATGTTTTTACCTACTAATCCTTTGATGAGACAACATAAAGGGTGTATCTGTGTTTAATAACGAAATGTATTTCAATCTAAATTTTTCATGCAAGCCAAGCTCATTTATTTGAAGAAACAATTTAGAAGTTTAAAAGTCCAGCATCTGCTTCTGCTTTGTTATGATAACACATGGAATAAATGTGTGTATAAAAAAAAACCCACACAAAATCATAAAAAGTTGTCATACACATCAGTTTGTTACAGTCCACTTTATGACTATGGCAATATGACATGACTTAAGGGCAGCATATTAACAAATGTCTATAATCTTTTTCTCCCTCACCTTCAGATTATAGAGTTACAAGTTGATGGTATAATTATTGTATTATTTAATCAATTAATTAATGTTCTTCTAAACAACACTTACCAAGACCATATTTGGTTCTGTAGTATTCCTTTGTAAAATCGTCACAGTCTACCACTAACATTTTCCTACCCCACACATTGATAACGGCACCCAGTGTAAGATCACTGTCACAATAAAATTCGGTAGGACTAGCTCCAGTCTGTAAATACAAGGGTTATATAAAATATATGCATAATTCAATGAGTCACAGATCAACATTATTCTTTAAAAGCATCTTACTTTTTTCTAAGTATAATTTGCGATGATGGGGTATTGATATTCCATTTCCTTATTCAATTTTGACTGCAACCGATAGAATTTTATATCCACAGGTATAATTAAATCAATTCTTAACACACATAATACATCTATTGCAATAGATTAATACATGTATATAGATAATATAATTATTGTTATACTTAGTAATTAAATTGATAATCAAATTTTTACGCCAATTTTTAGGGCCAGTTTGAGTGAAAAGCGTAAATGCAACACTTTTCTGTTTGGGCTCAATTTGCACATTTAAATAGATTATTCAAGGAAATGGAGTGTCAACAAATGATCTGAAATTTTAAACACAGGTTAATTGGTCCAGATCTCGACCTCGTTAATCCAGCCAAACAAAAATCTTTAAAATATTTTTCGGTGTCTCCATGTCAAAAACCTCTTTGCATTCATTGTAAAATAACTAAAAAATAATTTTTAGTAAAAAACATTCAAAGTAACAATATCTAATATTTAGGTGTTAGAAAAAGAAGTATCACCTTAAGACTGTCAAGAATGTATCGGCCTCCATGTCCAGTTGGACCAAAAACATTGAGTACAGTCCTATCAGTGACTTTACCAGGCTGTTTCAATGACTCAACATTCTTTGGCAGTTTTCCACGACGCAAGAACATAGGTGCAGCATCTCTCCCTATAAAAACAAAATTTCTCTTGTATACCATGTGTACTTTAAATCTTATTTGAAAATTCCTGAAGAACATTATATATTGGTACATGCAATTAACTTAGCATTGATGATATAGGTATGTCTTAATGACTTCTAAAAATTGATTCAGATACAATATTGTTTCTGTGTATCATGTTTCAATGTTGCCTTATATTCTCATATATCTTTTCAATATACAAGAGATATCTGTGATACTTAATGTAACAAATTGGGACCTGTCAGTTTCATACAGGTATAAGCTTTTAACTGATCATGAGAGATTCTTAACTTAAATCAGTCTATATCATAAATTTCACCTCAATTACCATATAAAATAACAAAATTTTGGATATCTTGCATTTTTAATATGTCAATATCATTACGATTATAATTTTTCTTCTGAATTTTTCTATATAATTATAAAGATTAGTGATTAAAGCTGCTATTTCATTTCATTCATATTAAAACCCCTGCAATTGTATGACTCCTATCATCATTTCCATTTTCTAACATAGAAATGCAAGCTCTTTGAAGATGACCAAGCAGCAATTACTTACCAGAGTTTGGTGGAATGACTTCTCTAATTTCAATTGTATCATCAGCTAAGAAATAATGAAGCACCATTTCTCTCGGGTCACCAAACATTGACTCAGTATCATCCCAGTAACAATAGAAACGTAGCACATGACGATCATGGTCCAAGAACTGTTTCAAAGTGTCATGCTTTTCATATGGTCTGAGTGGCTGCATGGATTCATCCATCTGAGAGAAAAAAAAAACTCTTTTTTTTCAATAGTTTTATGTTAAATCAGACATATACCATGATGTATTTATTATTGATATATAAATTTTTTCAAAATGCCAAGATTTTACCGACCTGGTCTTTTGATGTGTTGTTCTCCCCTCCCAATCTTTTAATTTATTGTTTAAAATGATAAAATATACAGGACAGCAACGCTCGACTATTCTTAGTGCTTGATAGTAAGAAAGCCTTGATAATGTAAAATTTCCTAAGTTAACAAAAGGGAAATTTTTTTTCTTTAAATCCATGTTACAGTTATACTGGCCTTGGAAAGAGTCTTTAATTAACCTCTCTAAGAGTATAAAATTTCATCTTGTTTCAAAGCCATATGTCAATTAATGGACTTTTTTTTGAGGTATTACAAAAACTTTAATGTAAATTCTAAGTCGAAAAAAGGGGCGTAATTCTGTCAAAATGCTTGATAGAGTTACCTCCACCTGTCTACAGTTTGGGATCATGATGATGAACAAGTGTGCAATGTTTCAAAGCCATATGTCAATGGACTTTGAAAATATTTGAGGTATTACAAAAACTTTAACGTAAATTCTAAGTCGAAAAAGGGGCATAATTCTGTCAAAATACTTGATACAGTAACCTCCCCCTGTCTACAGATTGGGGTCATGATGGTGAACAAGTGTGCAAAGTTTCAAAGCCATATGTCAATGGACTTTGAAAATATTTAAGGTATTACAAAAACTTTAGCGTAAATTCTAAGTCGAAAAAGGGGCATAATTCTGTCAAAATGCTTGATACAGTTACCTCCCCCTGTCTACACCTTGGGGTCATGATGGTGAATAAGTGTGCAAAGTTTCAAAGCCATATATGTCAATGGACTTTGAAAATATTTGAGGTATTACAAAAACTTTAATGTAAATTCTAAGTCGAAAAAGGGGCATAATTCTGTTAAAATGCTTGATACAGTTACCTCCCCCTGTCTACAGGTTGGGGTCATGATTGTGAACAAGTGTGCAAAGTTTCAAAGCCATATGTCAATGGACTTTGAAAATATTTGAGGTATTACAAAAACTTTAACAGAAGTGGTTATGTATACGCCGACGCGGACGCCGACGCTCGGGTGACTACAATAGCTCTACTTATTCTTATCGAATAGTCGAGCTAAAAATCTGTAGGAGATATTTCAATGAGATATAATTAAAGATAACTTACAGCTTTTCTATAGTTGGAATAAGGATCAGATGGGGCGCCAACTTTTTCTGGCATGCGAACGCCGAGTTTACGCAAGAAATTGCGTGTAAAGTCATCACAGTCTGTGATTTTGAAAACTTTAGAATAAAGATTGATTTCTTTGTTTAGGTTTAAGTCCTCAACTGTGTAGTACTCATCATCATGTGGTGGAGGTTTGGGGATTCTGTGTCTACGAATTAGTGTTCCTGCAAGACAGAAACCATAATATGAAGGAGATATTGATTTACAAAACTGAAGATTGAAATTAATAAAAAAACATACACAACATATTTATATAATATTTTCAAAAATGCCAATGAAAACTGATGGCATGAAAAAAATTAAAAGTATCAATGAGTCTTAACTGCAATTAACTTTCTTTTATACTGTATAAGGAAAATAACATTTTTAAAACTGTTGGTTATAGACAATTATATTAAATTATCATCTTCCTTTAAAATTTTTTAATTCAGTGTCCAAATTTTCTTTATATTTTATAAATAATTAATAAGACCATTTTAATAAAGAATTACAAAATTTAACTTAAATTACCTTGTGGTACACCACTGTTTTTTGCCCTTGGCTCAATCACTTGTAAGGAGTCATCTTCTAGATAGAAATATATTTTACAGTTTCTAACTCTGTACTGTTCCTCCCTCTTTTCATGAACTGCCTCTTGGAAATATGCATCGAAGCACAGAACTTGACGATCAAATGCAACCCATGCAGGTAAATTAGATCCCTCTCCCCGAGGATAGTTACTGTTTCTTGGTTTTAACTTTTGTCCCCGTAAAGGTTCACCACCAATCCCTGGCTTCTGTTCTCCAACTAGCATCGACACATCATTGCTTACATCAAAATGGTGGGACTTGTGAAACTTGTTCTTACCCAGCTAAAATATAAGATAAGGGAAGTGAATTATAAATCATTATTCCAAAAATATTTTTTTGAGGTTGCAATTTTTTTATAATCTTATTTATTAGTTACTTATACCTGGGGAATAATGCACTTTAATTACTCAGTAGTCAGTACACACTCAATGTACATGACGTCTGGAACTAAAATATGGTAGCCAAAGGAGTTCAGGGGCAGAAGCCCCTGCTCATGTATAAAGCAGATTTTAAGTTAATGGAATGATTATAAAATGAAAATGAATAGCCTTACAAATTTGTACCTGATAACACTTTACTAAAAAATTAATTGAGTGTGCTTAATAAGTAGATACACAAACTTCTAGTCTTCTAACTTCTATGTACCTTAAGTTAACAAATTAAACCCAATACACTGAATACAGACAATATCTGAAATGTTATTTGTACATTAATTGATAATGATAATACAGGGTTCCATGCTACATACATGTAAAATTGTATGCATTGATAAAATTAGGTGGGCTGGTGCGATAGCTCATTTGGTTAAATCACTGACTCACTCTTGAGGTCCCAAGTTTTACCCTGAGTGACACCCTTGGGATTTTTCAGAGACACTTTCAGGGTTTCCCACCTACAAAAATGTAAGGTGTACTGGTAAGAAACATGTATCAGTGCTACTAAAGAACCAAGGTGTCTATTCAATAAGAGCCAGGGACTTGTTTCCAGATTCACTTGTATCTCAAAGCTGTCTCTGAAGTCTAGAGTTAATTATCTACGTCCACATGAGGGGTTTGACATTAATGGAAGATAAATATAAAGCAAGTTTAAGTCTGTCTTAAAATGCTCACTTGGAGTTTTGCCTGATTTAAATAAACATATTACTAATAATGACACAACTTTAATATCATATCGATATACATTAGAATAAAAGATCTTCCAATTGCACAAATGTTTAATAATCGAAGTGGAATATATTGATTTCTAGTTTATCATAAAATCTATTTATTGACTTGCAAGTTTACAACAAACAATAAATATAATTTCAGTAAGAATTCATACATAATGCGATAAAAGCATCGCATATTAAAACGTATATATGTTTAGTCTAAAAGAGTAAGATCGCTCTCATCACAAACATTTCAATTTCAAAGGCACTGCTAATATAAGCAATCAAAATAATAATTCTGTAGAAAATGTATACTTACTTCGCCTCTGAATGAATTTCCCGGTAGAAATGGCAGTGCCATGTTTGAATTCTTAGATCTTTGTTTTGTAATATTCAAGATTTCATCGATGTTTGTATTAAAATACTGTTTTCAACCAAACCTGTTTGGTTTGTCACCAAGGAAGCAACCGACAATAGATACTGCGCATGACGGAAGTATTGGTTTCTATGCTATTCGTACTCAAATTCATTCGATATCGTTATATGTCCGATAAAAATATTTTTTTTAATACGGCATCGTATTATATGCTTGCTTTTATCCATTTATCTACATTTTGTTATCAGAATTTTATTATTTTAAAATAATTGGAAATTTAACATTCACCTTTTATTCCTGAGATAATATGTAGGGCCTATACTGTAGTCTAGCTAATGTCGAGTCTGACAATAAAAAAAACAAATTTAAGGCGCATAATCAGTTGTTTTTTTAACACACATTTGCGGAAAAATAAACATGGTATTTTTGCAAGAGTGGAAGAAAAATGACTTGATGGTTCCTTAATAGTAGGGAAAAAGTGCATGATTTTTCCACAGATGAGGCCTATATATACATATATGAGCCGTGTCATGACAAAACCAACATAATGGGTTTGCGACCAGCATGGATCCAGACCAGCCTGCGCATCCGCGCAGTCTGATCAGGATCCATGCTGTTCGCTATCAGTTTCTCTACTTGTTATAAGGTTTGTAAGCGAACATCATGGATCCTGATCAGACTGCGCGGATGCGCAGGCTGGTCTGGATCCATGCTGGTCGCAAACCCATTATGTTGGTTTTGTCATGACGCAGCTCATATATGAATAGCACTTGCCATAGAAGCGGGCAAAAAAAACAAACTGATTAGCCTATGTTTCATATAAATCAATACAAAGATAATTTTAAAATGCTTAAATTAACATTAGTTATTCTTCTTTTTGAAAGTTCTTCAAGGATCTATTTCTAATTCAATAGTTGATCTACTTTCAGTGGGCATCAGCTGCAATAATTAAATAAAATAATTAAACAAGTCAAACTTTTTTGTTGTTATTTCCTTCTTTCTTTTCTTCTTTTTTTAGTGGGATGAGGGTGTGGGGCTTCAGCCCCTTAAAGCCCCTTCCCGGATGGTTGGTTTTTACCTGAAATAACACTATATATGCTATTTATGGTCCGCCCAGAAATCACTGATTCCGTGGCAATTCTGGTCCAATATGCCGCCCAGAATCTATGCCAATAATCCGTACAGGCTTCCCTCAATCTCACAGAAAACAAGAAGTAGATTCACATTTTAACATACAAATATTTTTTTTTTCCAGAAAATTTCAGACTTTAGAACATTTAAGCTCGAGTATTTAATTCTTTTATCTTTTAGGGTTGGGGGGGGGGGGGGCTCTACATTTTAAATAGAGGATTCTGATGCATTTTTCCATATGTACCATTAAATATCCGTTTTTACATTCCCCAGAAAATTTCAAACTTAAGAACATGCAAGATAGGGTGTTAAATTATTTTTTTCTGGAGGGAAAAATCTACATATTAAATGTGGGAGTCTGATACATTTTTCCGTTATGCAAGGACATCAATTTCTTTATACTAGCCTTCCATTGAAAAAAAAAATCTGCACATTAATAAATTATTTAAATGGTGCCTTATTAACACATTTATTCATTTTCCCAGATTGTTCCAGACACGCGACGGTATTAAATACTAGACTTCTGTACGTGGAGCATTAGCTTCATATAGTTACAATAATAATGCCATATAGTGAATATTATAAGCCCTTTATTAAAGATCAATCTAAGAGTTAATTCCGAAGTGCTCATTACTTATGAAGTTAAAATTTTACAATAATGCTTCCGTATTTTTTGTAAGTAAAATATTTCAAAAGAAAAGCCGTGCAAATACCTGTAGTACATCATCATCACATTCAAGCCTTAGAGCTATTTATCAAACACCCGTGCCGATTTTACGACTCCGTAAAAATGTTATTGCACGGCGCCGTGCATATATTTTGACGTGACGTCATTAGCGTTATACAAACATAGTAAATGTTAGCGTTATACTATAGGTGCGTCAATGAAAAATGACTCTTTTTTCACTTTCAACGGTCTTTTGTCCATGAATAATGTATTAATTGAAAGTGTCTGCAAGAGCCTAAGTTGAAACCCTAAGTTTATAACCTTAAAACATTGTACACAGCAAATTACCTGAAGGCATAAAGTGTTTGTTGGCGCAGAGTTTTACGCCAGGAAGCTCATCACGGACTCGGACTCCAATCAACAAGGATTCAGTGATCTTCATTTACTTCAATTTAACAACAAAAAACAACACCAAAAACAACAACAACACAAAACAGAACAGGTCAAGGGAGCATATGGTGCTACCCTCCCTATCCCGTTTTACTTGGCCTGGAGTCTTTACAACACTGTTACAACCAGCTTCTATGTATCGCTACATGTAAAACATAATAAGATATGAACAGAAGTCAGATTGAGATTCTTAATTGTGCTGTAAAAGACTTTCTTTTGAGTAACACTAACTTGAATCTCATTTCCCCAAATTCTAAACAACAGGGTAGTCTGTATCATTCTGCACTGGCACGTGCTTAATGCTAAATTCGATGGGTTTTTTTGTGTGTGCCAAAATGGCGGACATATTTCATTTTTCTCTGTGCAGAGTGGAACGGCATTTAGTGCGAAGATTCATTTGAACAATACTTATTCTTACACGTTTCCAATGCAAAAACTAAAATATATAAAATTGCAACCAGCTTGAAGCTTATATGAAAATTTCTCTTACCATCTGCCTGTATCCGTATGAAGAGACCTGTTACCAGAGTCAATATTTTAGTTTCAACTGCGGTTTCGGATGGCATATGGTTTACACTTAGCTGATACATTAGTTATAAAGGTTTTAGCATAGTGCTGTTTCAACACATAACTTTATCTTAACCATTCTGCAATGTTTAAATGTTCAAATAGCTCATTAAACATTCAGATGAGAAACATTCATTTTTTCCAGCTAATAACAATCATCTACCATTTGGCATTATAACAACATGCGGTCTTAAAGAGTATACCATTTAAAAAATAATTCTCTTTGTGACATTGAGACCAAAATACGACATGTTGGCTCGCTAATCCACATAAAGATGAAGGGGAAATCAGTCAATAATGAAAAATACTTTGTCTCCACTCAGTCGTCTCCCTTGGTTTGATTTTGGGTTTTAATAATTATTTCATTGACTTATGCTAATATGCGGGAATCATTTAAAGCACAACGATTTTTATACCCTGAACTACTTCATTCGCTACTTTTTAAAAATAAAATCTGTTTTTCTATATTGACGTATTCGGATTTCAAGTTACTTATAATATTAGCACAATTCGGATTTCAAGTTATTTATAATGTGAGCACAATGTACCCGACATAACCTATATAACACTAAAAATGGACGAAATAACCCAAAATGCAATTTGATCTTGTGAATTTAGGACAATTTGCAATGAGGAAGTCTTGAGAAGAAGATATGATAACCCCTTTCAAAACCTTTTGCAAACATTCACATCAATTTATCATTTTTGTCTGATTCCCCGGGACTTAAGATGACCTGTTTATCAAAATCACAACGCTCAAATGTTGAAAAAAAGCCGGATTAATCTTTAAAGAAAAAGGTACCCGGCAAACTTCAATCGAGCGTGTGTGTGTAAAACACTACATGTTTTAAGGTAAGGCTTATTATTATTTCATTTGAGGAAAAAAAGTAAGTTTGGATGTTGCCCTTCTATTTCTTTTTTCAATTTTGATACAATCTTTGTCTTCGAAACAAAATCTGATTTCAATTTAAGTAACTTGAGCTTATAGTTTGGGGTGTTACTTGATTGCTTTATTTTAGTATTTGAATTTTTTGACAGGTTATATGGCCCTAAATACACGGTTGTTTGGTTTAAACATATTTATTTTTTCATCAAGTTACAATATTCACATCAAACACAAAATTTATACAAAATCATGATAAAGTGGATTGAACTGGAAGCTCAAAGCTTATTGTACACGGTTGTTTGGAAATGTATTGCCAACAACCGTTCATATATGGTCATTTAACCTGTCAGGAATATTTTAAGTGGTTTTGAAATACAGCAAAGTTTTTCAGAGAAAATTTATAGATTTCTTTATTAATTGACAGCAACCGTGTACATGTATATAAAACTTTATAATGCTGCACGTTTGTAACGTCGCTTTTCATTGCATAATCGTTTAGTATTATAAAAAATAAGATACCTTCTACTTATTTGACACTTTAAGTGGGGTATATTTACAAACCCTCATTAGTATTGAGAAATACTAGACTATTTACTACTAGCTGTTTGTGTTTGCTATTTTTTGAGGGTTGTTGTTGTTGCTTTGTTATTGTTGTTGTTGTTTTCCCAGAATATATAAAAAATATAAAACTGTCTAACATGAGGGTATATATATGGATTTGTGTGCTAAAAGATGACACGATTTTTTGTCAGTAACCATGCTTTTTGTATCTCAATATATTTTATATGCTCTAGTAAATTATCTGAAATCCTTTACATAACATTTTTTTTATTTTTAGAAAGACACACAAGACAGGACCTTGTCTCAAGATGATTGTAAAGGTATTATTCCTTATATATTAAATTTAAATCACGCACTTTCCAGATTCAGTCTATAACTCTGATGTCGAATGATGTTTGTAATCTATATTTTAAGAGTGTCTCATTTTGAAGCACATTTGGTTAAAGTCTACGAATAACAACACACATACAAACTAATTGGATCAAAATAAGCATCAATTTTAGGATCAAGATCAATATTTATATCAACTGTAAAATGCCTGTATTTTGGAAAATAACAATACATTTATTCTAAAATTTCACAAACGTACTATTTTAAGTCCAGTTTTATAAAGTTAACATTAATTATTTAATCTATGAGGATAAACAATGGAGAATATATTTGATTTTTTTTCATTTGTTCCTGATCTTGAGCCTTATCTTGAAATCTTTGTGAACACTGGGCCATGAACAGATAATGTTTTTGTATGCCATATATTACTGACATCACGATTTGCCATATAATAATTATTATGTATTGTGTTGAAAACAGTTTTTCGGACGAGTGACCTAAAAGTTTATATTGTATGACAATGAGTTTAAGAATCTTTTTTTTTCACATGACTAAAACCTTTGAAATTAATGATAAATAACTTTTTATAGCGTTAAACGCGCGCTTTAATTTCTTTTTAAATGTATAGTCGAAAATGTCATGACAGTGTTATATTACAAGTGTGTAATATAAAAAACACCAATGGTTATATATTAACATAAACAAACAAACGCCGTGATGTGATAATTTAAAGCAAATACATAACAGTACCCAGAGTAATATTCCGCTATATAGAACCTCAGGTTTCTTTTAATTTCTTCGACATTCTTCGCTAAATCTTAATGCATTACATGACTCTTACGGTTAATTTATAATCAATGTTAAGTTTCAACCGTAATATATTTTACTTTTCACAAACTTACATTTACACATTATTTCTGATTATTTTTTAATTTACGAAGCCCAAGTGACAAATGCATTTTTATCAAATTACAGCTGTATTTCGCAGTACTAGAATGCTTTATTTTATTTTTTAAGAGTCATTGACATTTCTATGAATAGACCAGTGACGTGTGATGACCATACTTTTATTCTACATAAACGAGATATGACTATTGTTTATCGTTATTTTCAGGAAGTTCTGTTGTTCCTGCTAATATCAGGGGTACCAAAGGTCCATAGTGCAAATTATGACAGAGATCGTGATTGCCCAGCTAAAGGTGTATCTCACCCATGCTCGTGCACACCAGTGGCAATAGATTGTATAAACCGTGCCATCGTAGGTATACCACCTGCGTTTACGAAGACGAATTGGGTGTTTGAGAAGGTAGATTTGAGTCAAAATCTCCTGACAAGAATACCTGCTCGCGCTTTTCAATACGTCAATGTTTCAAAAATAATATTGTCTAACAACAACATATCATCAATCGAACCAGATGCCTTTCAACCTCTCCAGGATCAGATTAAGGTTTTAGATCTTAGGAACAACAAACTGACTTTCTTGCCTGAAGTACTTGGAAAACTGCATTCCCTAAATGTCCTAGATGTCAGTTACAATCCTATACAGTACATGAACTTCACTGATAATGTGATGCGGGAACTTGGGGACTTTATCAATGAATTTCATTTTGGTGACGATAACCTCAAAGGATGGCCTGAATCTATCCATCATCTACAGATGCTAAGAATTCTGAAATTTTACGGGGGAAGTAATGAAATGGATCGAATTCCCATTACGGCTTTCAAGGGATTTGAATGGACCCTAGAAAAGCTTTGGATGCAGAATACACAGTTAATTGCTGTCCCAATTGCACTGCAGGATCTCAAGAGTACAAATGAGCTTCATTTCGACAACAATGTCCACGTTGGTGATGCTGGTATTCTTATCCCTGCTTTTGCCGGATTAACCGATAAACTAGAGGTCATGTCCCTTGAAAATAACAGCCTGACAACGTTTCCGTCCGTTCTGTTGACTCTCAGACAGCTTCACAACCTTAGCCTTGCAAGAAATAACCTTCAATTTGTCAGTGACCAAGCTGTAAGTGTAGTTGGTAGTAATCTTACAACCGTCAACTTACAGGCATGTGGTCTTGATCGTATCCCAGGAGCCTTGTCTAAACTAGAAGGAATAATTGATTTGGACTTTTCAAACAACAAAATAACAACTATTGAGAAGAATGACCTGCAGCGCATGGTCAATTTACAGCGACTCGACATGTCAGAAAACCCCTTGCAGTACATTTCAAGAAGTACATTTTACGATTTGAAGAGACTGCAAAACTTAACCCTACAGGAAACAGAGCTGTATTTGGTGCCATATGCCATCACTAACATCCCGACACTCAAAACGCTCGATCTCACCAGCAGCGACACCTATATTGAATGCAACTGCGATCTGAATTGGCTGTATTGCTACACCACTCACAACAATACCGGCCTAACCATTATAGGCGATTGTGAAACCATTCAGATGGGAATCGACCGATACGCAAGAACGCGAATTCCAAGCGTGTGTCCGAAAATTTGTTAATTGAAACCAGTTACTTTTTCACCCAAAGACGCAATCGCTTTTCAAAATCTAAATATAATTTTTAAATGCTATTATAGAAAAAAAATAAAAGAAAAATAAAAAAATCCTATTGTGTGTTTTAATTAATGAGAAATGCTAGCCTTTCTTGGTTTTAGTACATATTGTCTTTTAATAAAGTGGAAGTATATACAAAAAGTCTTAACCCTGCCTATTGATGTACTTTTTTCATACGTCATAAAAAATCCCTCTTCTTAAGGCCATGTAGGCATTTGAATATGTCAAGCGAAACAAGATGTACCTTTAAAAAGATAGTCGGACGAGGTAAAATTGCTTTACTGGCATAGGTTATTTCGAAGTTTGTAATAGCTCTAAATTTTTATGCAAGAAACATTTCTGTCGTATTTCAGTAAATGTACCTAACTCTTATATATTCATGTAAATATTAATATATGCTTTATTAATATGCAAAAATTATATTGAAATTTTGAAATTTATATCAATTGAACACAATCAAATTTAGCTATAAATTTTGTTTTCAAGGACTAATTACAATAACATTTCTGAGAAGCCATGAGTCGGTTTATTAGAAAGTTGATAGGGCTGATGTTGAAACAGTTTACCAAGACTATGTAACGTATTTTGATTAATGTCTCATCTGATCTAAAAAAAAATCTTGTCATGGTCATTTCAAGATATTGTATATTAAAAATTAAACATTAGCAGCAGTTCGTTAGCATGATTCATATGTGGACGTTGAATGCTTAACCCATTACTTCATAGAGACGTCTTTTCACGCCTTTGCACCCTTCCACCTTTTGAGGCCTCAAAAGGTATAAATCCAAAACACTTGGTTCCGTTTGCGAAACGGTGTAAAAAATTGATCACTTTTTCGGCGACTACCCCTATCAAATAGATATATCAAGGGGGTGCCAGAGGGGGGATGTGCTTCCTTCTGTTTGGGGTTTGAAGGGGGCAGCAGACACCCTCATATCCAAGTAATTGTGGACTTGTGAGAAGCTTAAAATGGCCCCAGTGCAACCATAAGGTGACGTGTAACCAACGCTGAGAAACATTTGACTCTTTCTAAATCCATTGAAAAGTTGCAGCACCTTGAAATCAGTTTTGATGTAAAATATCAATGCAAAATTGTGGCTTTTGGTAATTTTGAGATGTCCCCTCGTTGCCATGGTAACAGGAAATTTAAGATTGAGTATGCCAATCAAAAGGCCATGGTCCATTCATAGCAATGAACCTGTAACAGGAGGCCTTTCAATGAAAACAACCATTTTTCACAAAATGCTCATGCGGTAATGGGTTAAACTTGATTTTCAATATCCTGAATTTTACAGGAATATTTCGGAATATGATGTCTGCTCTTTTCTCTCATGGTCTGTGCAGTGTTAAACCGTTGTATGTTATCATCTTTAGTATAAAAGTTTGATAGCTTTCCAACGAACAGCTGCTCGCATTAAATATGAAACGGTAGCTCTATATGGAATAATAATAGCAACCTTTTTGTATCATTTCGTGCTTCTTATATAATGGAAACAAGCGGTTTTCTTTAGTTTTCGACGTTCCGTCTTTTTCATTATAATTATATACTAACTAGTACATGTAATACAAATTATTGCCTGCAGTGATATCATTCAAAAGCATTATTTCCTGCGGGCCGGAGCCCGCAGGGTATTGGTACGCGTTTAATTTTTGAGGCATGGAGGAGCACGTGACCTGTTTTCGGTACATGGAGGAGCATGTGATCTGTAAACCGTACATGATTGGTTAATTGACCTATTCGAAAACCTAGCTAAATACCGTTTCCCGGTACGTTACGGATTTACCTTACACACACCGGTCTCTCAAATGACCGGTGTACACAATGCTAGGGAATTAGTCCGAATTACACCTAAATAAGAACATAACACTATTACGTGATATTTCTAATTTTCTATTATTATTTTACCGTTTAATGTGGAAAAACTTGCATGATGTGTTTGAAAATTATAATTGTTTCTTTAATATCTATCTGAAATTTTACAGACAATAAATTGTTTATAGTGAAAATCCACAGAATTAAAACATTCATTTGTGGCATCTGCCATAAAAGATAGAGATATTTTCTGCGTAAACTTGTGTGTTTACTTTATTTTAATTTATTTTTTTTTTGCACGGAATTATTCATACAATGGTATTTAATCATTTTCTTAAACAGAAATATTGTGTGTTTTTTCGACCAAGACCAAAGACCTTCTTCTATTGATCGATTATTGTCAACTATATTCCTGATACAAACGTTAATTTTTTTCCCCAAACCATGTTGAAAATAGTTAAATGAGATATCAAAAAATCTTTATAAATGTTCCCCGCAGGAAACCATTTTACTTGTACTAATGCTTGAACGACCAATATTCACTAGAACTGAATCCAAAGGCCTTTTGTCACGGAATTGACTTCCTTTGAAATACACAAAGATGAGACTTAATAAAAGTAACGTTTATATTGGACTATTTTTCCTCCCAAGCGCACAAACATTTTTTATATTATCCACCCAGCCAAACGCATAAGATCACACCGTTAGATAGAATGAGCAATACGTGCGTTGCATAGACGCAGCCTGTAAACAACATATTTACATTATTTTCCCTTAAAATCTCAGGAAAACTCAAGAATTAAAGTAATAAAAATTGACAATGATTTCGAGCGTGATTTTTTTCCTTTTTACTGACAAAAAAACAACAACAAAGACATTCAAGTAAGTTCAGTCAGTGCATATAGGATGATGAGCAAAATTATCCATGCCAGTTATTTAATCAATATGTTCATACAAAATCACATTGAGGTTGTTTATAACTGTTTCTTAAAGTTTTGTGCAAATGTATTTTAAACTCGAAACATACTTTTACTATGTTACATTTTATATTTTTTTCATTGAATTCTGTAATTTTTATTAAAGAGACATAATTATATTGGACTGGTGAGCCAGGTCATCCAGATATATATTGCATCTAAATGATATTGTTTATACAAATTTAAGGATAAACTCCCAACTAGCAATATTTTTCCACATGGTAAGCTGAAATAAAAACAAATTTCATCATTGAGAACAGCACTTTAAAGTTTTGAGAACTGAGAACCGATCAAGCAGGTGCTAGAGGGTGTGCGAGATATTGTACTTTTTCATTATCGTCATGAACATACTCAATCAAACCGAGTCTCGAATTTTCATGTACATTTTTGCTGTTTTTAATGCATCCGAGGGATCACTGTTTTCAAGATATTCATACATATGCATGTTCAGGTTAAACAAAAAAATCTGCAAAATACATGTAGGTGGAAAAATATTCATTTTTTTATTTCCTTTCGCACAACTAAATAAATAAACAAGTAAAGAGATTTTTATTTATGAATCAAACAAAACTGAAACTTTTATTCTATTTAAACCAGCAATAGTACACAATCATTTTAATTTGTTGAATGTTTTTCCCTCTTTTTCTCCCCAAATACTTGATCTAAATTTTAACATCCTAACAGGAAGACTTTTTATATGTCAGATTATATGCTTATCAGTCACGAAGCGAATGAAAAGTGTCCTGTGACCTAAATACACCTCAATTCCGTGAATTTGTAATTCCACTTAAAAGGTTATCAATGAAATTGCCGAACTGAACTGGGTCAACATTTACATCAAAGTCCCCTTTTCCTTCCAGATATTGAAACATTTGATAGGGAAAATATGCTGCCTGTACTAGATGACATCTTTGTTATTGACACTGAAGTCTTTGTTACAACTTGCCAGTATATTATGGTAGCATACAAGTCTCCAACTTTTGTGTAACCGTTTTAGCTTCTCCTCGATAGATTTTAAAAAAAAACAAACAGAAAAGGCTGCTTACTGACAGAGCTCTGCTGGACAACATAATTATCTTTCCTCATTAAAATTCTCGACTGTTACAAAAGCCCTAGTCAAAATAAGTGTTATTTACAAAGTACACGGGAAAATTAAAAAAATATAAGCGTTATAAGTGATAAATAAAGTTTTTCAAGCCTTCTGTGACATTTTTTAAAGAGAGTAGCTATAATATAATAATGTAAGCAACTGTACAGAGAGCGGGTAATTATTTGTTTTTTTCTAAAACTATACACAATTACGCACTTGTGCAAAAAACGAAACAGCCTGAGATAAATAAATTAAAAAAAACAGTAAGATAAAAACATTCACCTGCAACTATAAGATAACAGAAAAAAGATGCAGACGTTTTAAGTTAGTATTTTGTCTGTTTTAACCTGGTTTAGCAGGTGTACTGATAAGAGGAGATTAACTGTCTTATTTAAACCGGGTACCAATCTTCTGTCATTAAAAAGTGGAGTTCAGATCACATGCATATCCTTGCAGGGCACCACTTCCGCATTTCACAGTTGACGGCTTCTCTTTTTCGATGACGGATAAAAAGGTATTCCTAATAATTACATTTTACTATTAGATTTTTTGAAGAATATTGTATTTCTTTCTTTAAATAACATTAAATTATCGCATTGTATTTATCATTTCTTTTGGAAATGATCAATTGCTTTTTTGCTAGGTTATAAATGTTTAATTAATGTATAGATGAAATTTTAATAATAATAGTAAATGACAAAAACACAAAAAACAACAATAAGTAAACAAAAAGAAGAAAGAAAAAGCAAACAATACAATTTAGGTATAAAAAGGGTGAAGAATATTATCGAAATTCATTTTTACGAACGTTTTCTTGTTGGTTTTGTCGTGACGCGGCTCATTTTAATTGACTGTTTTAATAATGATTCCAGATGGTTTTACGAACGCTCTGTCTCAGTTTACTGACTGTTGCGATATTGTCACAGAAACCTCCTACAAATTGTCCTGATATAAACCCGGACCCGGCCACGCAGTGTAGCTGTACATCAGAAATTATCGACTGTTCAGAGAGAGGATTAACAGAACTTCCGAAGTTTAGCGTAGATACGTTTTACAAGGAGTTACGTTTAGATCACAACGATATTGAAAACATCACAGACGACGCATTCAAAAATCTGCATTCTTTAAATAGAATCTTTATGCAAGACAACAACATATCGAGATTCGACAGATATGCTTTTCGCGGGGCCGAGCAAGCGCCTATTAACCGAATTGATCTTTCGAATAATTTCTTAACCGAATTTCCACAGGCAATAGGGAACCTTGAATCGATTAACTGGATTGATGTTACAAATAATCCCATCAACGAAAACAACTTTGATCAGACAACGATGTACAATATTGGCGACACTTTGACAAGATTTGAGTTCGGAAGTCCGAAAATAGAATCATGGCCACCAACATTACGTCATCTCCAAGCGTTAGAATTTTTGAACGTGAGCGGTGGGTCATTCTATACACTACCACCAGAGGCGTTCCATGGTTTTGAAGGTACACTTACAACATTATCTATTCAAAATACAAACCTTATTGCACTCCCGTTAGCCTTGGCCCGGCTTAGATTTCTTGACAGACTGTATTTTGATCATAACCACGACATTGGAGACTCTGGCGTTCTAATTCCGTCTTTTGGGAACTCTGATCTACTTAACAAGCTCCGCTATATATCGCTTGTTGACGACAACTTGACGGTGTTTCCTTCGTTACTTCAATTTTTACGAAACGTTGAACAACTGGTGCTTGATTCCAATAGCCTCGCTTTCGTTAGTGACACATCCGTGCAAGTTGCGGTAGGCACGAAAATCACTGACCTCAGTCTACGAAACTGTTCATTGTCACGTGTGCCTGGTGCTTTATCTAAACTCACAAATCTAACAAAGTTAAATCTAGCGGAAAATGACATCCACAGCTTCGAGAACAGTGACTTCGACAACATGGGCAAACTACTGAATCTCACAATTACGAAAAATCCGCTGGGATACATTGCCAATGAAACCTTCAAGGATCTGAAGAGTCTACAGTACCTTGATTTGAAAGAGTCAAACATCAACACAATGCCTGAAGCAATCAGATTTCTGAAAAACTTGCAGGAACTGAAGCTTCCGTCGGATAAGATTGAGTGCACGTGCAACATTGTCTGGTTCAAGCAATTTATGGAACACTGTAACACCGGTTTACGTATTGACGGGTCATGCGAAACAATTAGCTACCCTGTAGATGTTTACCTTAGAGACTTTATCCCGAAATGTCCAAATTATAAGAACGGAACTGCATGTGTGTAGGTACAAGGCGTCCAACATTTCATTTATAATGTGGTCCGAGTAACTTCAATTTTCCGAACTTCATACATTTAACTGGTTACTAATACGGTACTGGTTAACTGTTCTGCAAATTATTAATCCAGTGTAAGCAGTACTTCTAATAAAATACTTGAGCAAATTCGTTACGTGTCTTTATTTCTTGTGTTTTTTGATGATTTGTATGCTTGATCAAGATCTCTCGAAGAAAAAATGTAAAATTAGCCATTTACAGATGATGCAACTAAAATTTGAAAGCACCTATTTTGTGTTAAACTTACGTCAAGATGCATGGAAAATATCCTACCCACTTAATCTCTAATTATGAAAACAGATGCGGACATTGTTGAGATTTCCAATAATTATAAAACATATGTTTGTAATTGGTTTACTACAGAAAGAAAATCTTCAAATACATATACTGCCGTGTGAACACACTTCCGAATTTTTCTAAACATACACAATTTTTATATTTGTTGTCAATGTGAAGCCGGTGTTATGTGGCAAAAACGCTAGCATGAATTTAACAATATCGTCAATGAATAGGCTAATTTCAAGTAGGTCTAAAATATTTACATTTTTCGTTTGTTTGTTTGTTCTGCGTTCTTCATGTTTCAATTTTAAAGATGTTGATTATTCACATTTTTAATAGTTGAATGAAAGTTACAGTAAAGCTCTTAGAGTTAAGGAAATATTCTGTTCTTGTACCTCTTGGGACTCCCTATTGCTATAATTTGTACACAATGACATTTAAAGATAAAATTACATGCCACTTTGATAACAAAAGCTTTACTACGTTTAACGCAACAAAAACCAAGCCTTTGCTCATATGATCGGTGCCTGGCCCCAATAGAATAAGTTAACTGATAAGATTCTCGCCCGTAAGTTATAGTGTGGAAAGAGCAGAAAAATGTGGCTTTTGGTAAGTACATAGTTCAATCATATTATCTGTATACTAGTTATATACATTTAATGATATATATGTATATTATATCATTTAAAAAAACCTTGACACGGGTATATTTTTAAAGTGAAACATGCATTTTTCGAAAAGCCGTGAAAACGTTCTTTCTAGATCACTTGCATAACTTTCTTGCGGAAAACTCATGAAACCACACAACAAGAGTTGTCTCTTGTCTTGATAACATTCGTTATATATATGTATTAGAAAAAAACAAGTGATATATGTCTAATACGAAAAGAAATAAATATTAAATTTAACAGAAAACATACTTTGTGTCGATACAGGTTTCGGACTTAAACATTAACTTACTTGCACAGTGACTGTGACAGGTTTTTTTTTACCTTTTTACGGTCATAATGTATACTTGGCTGATTACAAAACAGTTATTGTAGAGTTACAAATAAATGATTCTAATGATCGAACAATGCTAATAAGATGTAACTTTATTCTATTTTTGTTTCAGTCTCTCGTGTGCGCTTTATTTATGCTAAATGCATATTGTAATGCAGTTGATTGCCCGATAACTGACCCCGCCATTGCGCATAGATGTGTGTGTACGATTACAACTATCGATTGTCAAGGTCATAATCTTGGAACAATTCCGCCATTCAAAGCTGGAGGAAGTTTTCGTGTCCTTAAACTAGGGAACAACTCCTTAAAGGCGATCCCTGACAACGCATTTGCTACTCTGAATGTGTCCGAAATCGACTTGTCTAACAATGAAATAAGCCTCATCGGTTTTAATGCGTTTGCCGGGGTATCAAGCTCCTTGACGATACTCTCCCTCGCGCATAACAATCTGGCGGAACTTCCGAATGCAGTTGGGGGTCTAAACAAACTTCAGTCACTTGATGTCACATGGAATCCTATTCCGGGTTTTAAGCCAGGTTCACATCACCATCACGGAACAGATGGGCTTACGGATGCCGTGATGAGACAAATCGGCGATTCAATTACAACATTTAAGTTTGGTGCCCCGACAATGAACTCGTGGCCGGGATCACTTGACCATTTGAGTCAGCTAAAAGAACTAACAATAGCAGGCATTAACTTACCGTACTGGCCGGCTCAAGGCTTTCACGGTTTTGAGCACACATTGGAAAAACTGACCATCGAGTACGCCTCCTTAGATGCTGTTCCGTTAGGTATTTCTATGCTTACTCGTTTAAAGTCTCTTCATCTAGATCACTTGAATGTTGATCATCCAGACGGTAGTCCGAGTAGATTTGGTGATGACAGCATGATATCTGCCCCATTCCAAAGTCTTGCACAAACACTTGAACAGCTAAGTCTCGACTATGATGGCCTTACCACATTTCCAGAGGGTATACAAGATCTTCGAAAGTTACGAACCCTTAGTTTAGACGGCAATGATCTGCAATTCGTCAGCGACGAGGCTATCAAGCTATTAAAAAATGCTAATGTGTCCAGTCTCAGTTTGAGAAATTGCAATTTAAAGCGCGTTCCTGGTGCTATTTCAGACTTGACCAATTTAGTGGAACTGGATCTCTCCGAGAATAAAATTAGGAGTATTGAAAGTACAGACCTTCAGAATCTATTCAATCTGCAGGTACTCCGACTTAACATTAACCCGCTGAAATATGTATCTGACAACTCTCTTTGCGGACTTAACAAACTACAGGTTCGGTTTTGAACTGTTATACAGATTTGATAATTTCTTTATAAAATACTTTAATGTAGTTTGTCTATTAATTAACTTGTATAACGCCAGTCATCCTATCACATTTGCGTGTGACTTATTTGTAAAAAACCGGGAATTGTAAGCTCTATATTATGGTCATTATTTATAATTCTTGAAATATGTACTGAATTTTCATGAATTTGTTATGGGTTTATAGCATCTATGTATCTATGTTTGATGAGGAATTCCTAAATTATGTAAAATATACCCTGCCTGTTTTCTAAATATAATGAAGATGATTGTTTACAAATAGATTTAATGTTTTTCATTAGTTACATTGTAGCATAAACACGAATTATATAAACATTTAAATTCTTGGAAATGTCTTCCGTTTTTCATTTAAATGAAATATATGTTTCAAAATGTCTGATTCATCTTTTTCAGCAATTCTATTTAGTCAACACAAGTTTAACTGAAATATCCCGGTCTTTCAAGAACTTGCGGCAACTAAAGAATCTTTACTTGAGTAAGTCGAACATTGATTGTACGTGTGATATGACCTGGGTTGAAGCCTGGAGTAAATGTCAACCAGATGAGAAAAAAGTCGAGATTGAGGTATGTTCATGTTATATTCTTACCAATGGATTTGTTCTGATTAATACCTTTAATTCAAAACATATTTTTGTTCTTTATTTATTTATTTTCTCATTCATGATTTCATTCATTCATTCAGCTACTGTCCCGTAAGCCCAAAAGACTGCAAATCAAGCAATCCGGGATCGATTCCCGAACAGTGCAAGTCACTGCTGTTGTGATTGATCATAAAATCCTTTCTATTATTCACACTGTACTTCTGTTCTTGCATGGACAGAAATTGTCAGTTCTTTTTCGAAAGTTGAAGGATTTAGTGCTGGTAAACTGCTTGACCGCATACCCAGGAAAAAATGCGGTGGCTGAATTTTGATCTGGCAAAATGCTGAAATTCATTTTTTGAATTTTGATTTGAAAGTTATTATGTGTGCAGCATTTTAAATTAAATTATAATACTTTTGATAGATGAATGAACGTGTATAGACGTTGTGCTATTGCAGACCGGGTTATATAACCTTTCAAAATAATTAGGCCATAAAACCTTTATATAGCTAATAGTTATTGTATATGTTATATCGAACTAAATTTTGCATTTTTATAATTTTATTTGCAATTAATTTATGCATTACAGGGTCAATGCGAAACGATTGACCAGGGAATTATGGATTACGTCAAACGTCGGCTTCCTACATGTCCAGGTTACCTCGAAGATATTAAAAACTTTCAGTGCGGAAATTCATGTCCAGAATAATGTGAAGAGTTGTTAATGTTAACACTGTGCAAAAATAAATGATAAGAAAAATATATGTTTCTTCTTCTTCTTGTTTCATGAAATTTGTAGAGTTGTAAACCATACAAGCACATGTTCAAGCATGTTACGGTTTATTCAAGATATAGACTAAGTGTAAAATATAAGAGGATGTCATGATCTTAGACTAGAACACTTAGTTATTCCTCGTCAGATTTCACCATGGCGATTTCATGTCATGTGAAAAGAACATATCATTAGTCTGGCTGCATAGGTACAAACCCGGCTAAAAGTATGGTGACTGTCGAGCGCTGGCGGGCGACCGGGGACACAAATTTCGTAATGTTCAGTTTTCCCAGCAATTACTTATCGCAGCTTCTTGATATTTGGTATACAGCATAAACACGATGTCCCATATCGTGGGATTCTATTTCTGATCTGTCGCTCATCCACTTCCTGTTAACCGAATTAGTTAAAATTTTCAACATTAATGGCCAATGGTAGGAAATTTCGGTTACAGTTTTCTCAGCAACTACTTATCAAAGCCTTTTGATATTTGGTATACAGCATTAACACTTAGTCCCATGCCATGGGATTCAATTTCAGGTCGGTTGCTCATCCACTGCTTGTATACCGACTTAGTTAATTTTTCGACATTAATGATCAATGATAGAAAAATTTCTTAACATCTCACCCTATAACACTTTGACGTGAAATCATTTGCGCTATATGGATACATAGCGTTAAAGCGCGCTAATGTTAGCGTTACACTATGGGTGCGTCATTGAAAAATTACTCATTTTAACAGTTTACTGTTCTTATTTTACATAGGTGATAAATAGAATATTATATTCGTGTAGATTCAATACTAAATTTATTGAACGAGCTGAATAAAACGATATTATGCTCGCCAGAGGCTCGAGGCTCGCATAATATGATTTTATTCAACTCGTTCAATAAATTTAGTATTAAACTACACTCATTCAATATCCTCTATTTCTGTCTTTGACCCATTTTTAAAAATTAATTTCTTTACTCTTATCCGAGAAAAAGAAACGAAATGTCACTAAAAAATTTATAATTAAATAGATGACAGGACATGTAAAATACTAGAAAGTAAAAAAACAAGAAAAAAGTCTTATGCTGAATACGAGAAACGTCATATCTTAAGACGTGCACTCATATTTTGCATTTGTACTTAAGAAAATTGTTAAACTCTGAGATTGTGCGCATTTAAATTTTTGAAATGTCAAGTTAAATGGAGGATGGTAGGACAATATCACGACAAAACAAGACTACCATCTTAAAGGGACTCCACTGAGGTTTTTTGACATGACGAGACTGGAAATATTTTTTCGAGATTAATGCTCAGTTTGATGTAGGTCTAGATCAGTAACTTGTGTGCAAAATTTTAGATCATTTGCTCTCTCGGTTTATCCAGGATAATTATTCAAGTAGTGAAAAATGACCCAAAATTGAAAAGCGTTTAAACGCTTTTCACTCAAATCATATCAAAAATGTCACAAAAATACGCTTTTCAATTCATTTCTGAGTAAATTTCTTAATTATTTTTTCATGTCTTCCTGTTTTACGTGCCCCAGCTGATCTGTGTAAAAAATAAATTTTATGATTTTAGGCTTTTGAACCTCAGTGGAGTTCCTTTAACGTTGTTCAAAGCTTTTAGATACGATTTTAATATTTTATCTTACTACTCAGGCAGGTTTGTACATATATGCACTTCATTACCTGCGTTTGGCAATCTTTTATGCATCAAGATAGTTAAAGTGAGACATAAAGGTAGGTTACCATGTTTTCGTGTGTGCGGTTAAGATCAGTTATTTTGCTATAATAAAAAATGTCACAAACAAATTACTTGAATGCAAAAGACACATCCCAAAAAGTAACAAAACAGATGAATGCAGTTCGAAAAACATGCTTTGTTAATATAAAACCATAATGTGTTGCATTTCCATGTAGTCATGTAATAGCACATGATTGCATAAAGTTATGTTAAGTACAGAGTGTGGTCGTAATGTGTCTGCAAACTATTTTTTAAAGAAAAATAAGAAGTATTCATGCTGCTAAGATGTCCCGTACATTTTGTCTTTCTTTTCATCATTGGAAATTTGACTTTTCGACTTTTCAATGACATACAATTTTAGCCGGAGTAGTCACGTGATACGCACTAGCATAGAAACGTGTCCCAAAAACTCGTATTTGCAAGGAATATGTTTTTAACTGGACATAGCGGATTCAAAGATTGGTCATTGACGTCGATCAAGCAAAGATGGAGAAAAATGTTTACCGGTTACATTGTATGTCTGTTTGTTGTTGTTGTTGGTGGTGGTGATTTTTTTTTAATTTTCACTTTAAAACCTCTTTTCATTGTGAATATAGGCATAAAAATGACTCCATAGCGCATGTATTTAAGACACATGGAAGAACTCGAGAGAATGCTTATTTATAATAAAAAAGAAGAACTACAACAAACGGCTCGACAGTAAGCGTTTGTTTAAGTTATTCCCCTTGTTTTAGATATATATTTTTAGTTGGCTATTTTTTCTTTTATTCACCTTTAAAAGAGCCTGTAAAGAAATAAAAAAAATGGTTAAAGCGTTTTTGTCTCCAGCCTTACATGTGCCGTTCCCATGCGTGTGAGGCCACATTAAAATATCGGTTCACGTATGCCAAAAGGTGCTACCTTCTCGTTAAAGTCTTAATACTCTATGTTCGTTGAGAGAATAATTATGTGCAATTAACGAACTCGTCCTGGTTTTTCTTATCAAACATTTCGAAAGTACGGCGGATTACTGACAGTTGTGATGCCCACATCTCGGACAAATTATGGGACATATTTGTTCGGCTCTTATCATGTATTCTACAAGCTGTTATAATTGCGGATAGAGAACTGAAAGGTTAAGTTTACCTTATGTTCATTAATGCATAAAATGAAATATTAAGATACATGTAATAAATATGTTTAAATTGGTAGTTTCATACGTAAAAAGGAAATCACGTTGAACATTTACTTATAATTTGAAAAGTTGTTTGCATTTCAATGTTGCTGGGCAAAACAAAGTGAGCTCACGACATCTTTCATCTCGCCGAAAACTAGATTTGACCTAAAAAGCATAGGTGTTTGCCATTTTAGAATTTCCACACTGTCACATGCTTGGATATTGACAAATAAACTCTAGTTGATAGGAGCACTGGTCACGAATTAGAGACTTAAGCTTGGTTCATAATCTCTATAAAGGTTCTTATATTATTATTTAGTGTAATTGTAACCACAAGATGAAGATCATGTAAATTGTAATGGTAGCATAAGATTAAATATTGCCATCAAAGTATCATGGATGGACTGCATGATATCTTGATTTCAAGGCAGCAACCAAAAGTACAACCCTTCATTGAAAGAATCAGTTAATCTTAGTTGCCAATAGGTCTTGAAATGTTATATATTTTTTTCCGATCCTAAAAGATCGTTCAGCACGACATAATTGTTCTGCTTGTGGTAATTTAGTTCTTTCTATTCGGATATTTTCTTGTTGGGATGTTCAAGTATTCTCCACTTGAATACTGATGAATCACCCATAGGATATGTGGCCTGCTTTTTGAATTTTTCTTTAGACGTCTTATCTGTGATATGCAGGCTTCATAACCTCTGATCCCCTTTCAAAATTCCATTTTATTTAGTTCCGCTCATTATTTTCTCGTTTAGGGCACATGTATTTTTTTTACTTGGGGACCATATGCCGCTTTTCATGGAATGGCACTTACGTGTCCCATTGAAGGTACCAAGATAACCGCCATATGAACACATCTGCGAATGTGCCAGTTTATGTTAAATGTTAAATTCTGCTTAAGTCGGTGCTAGGGGGCGTGGATGGTAGTTTGCATTTGACAGTACTGTCCCTAGACAGGCTAAATTAAACCGAGCCTGCAACATTTTCAAGTCTCCGTGTTGGGCTTTCTCTGGGGATTCTTATTTTCTCTATTTTACATTTGCCTCATTCAGAAGATAAACGTACTTGCTGGTATCAAACTTCTCCTCACGGGGAATAAATAAATAACAGTGATAAAATGATATACATCATTTAATAATGTCACTTTGCAAACTTGCACTTTACATGTGGATACATGTATTTCATAATAATATTGCTGCTCTGGAATGTTTCTCATTGAATTCTTCAAGACAATCTACTTGTTTTTATATTTCAGTAGAATGGGCAGCGTAACATTCGTTCTGTTTGTACTTGCATTTGGATCTTTCCACTCGTCTGCATTTATTTTACCAAACAAACCATGTCCGGCACCAGAACCTTGTCGATGTCATCAGAATGTCATTGACTGTCGAAATAAGGCTTTACAGAAAATTGTGTCGTTTGGATACATAAATGTCGACGCCTTTAACACGCTTGATTATGGCGGGAATCTGCTGACATCTCTTCCGCCGTCGTCATTTTCTGAATTATCGCTTACTGTACTGTATCTGGAAAATAATAACATTTCACACATACATGAAATGGCATTTCATGGCCATGAGAAAGAATTAGTGATACTTAACCTAGCAAATAATAACCTGCAGACACTACCACTTGCGTTAAATCGTTTAAGAGGTATCAAAGTACTCGACGTCTACGGAAATCTAATATTTGGATATCCTCAGACACCTGTCTCACCTTCCCAGTCGCCCGAAGTCCAAGATAGTGAAGTTTTGAATTTCATCGGGGATTCTCTTGAACAGTTTTCATTCGGACATTCTTCTGCCCTTACACAATGGCCAGATTCATTACGTCATTTACAACAGTTGAAAGTGCTGAAGATGATCGGTTCAAATATTCCTCTGATATTTCAAGGCAGCTTTATCGGGTTCACGTACACTTTAAAAAGCCTCACTATTAAGTACGCACACCTTCAACAAGTCCCTGTTTCCATAGCAGCATTAAAACGACTAGAAGAACTTCACTTTGATCACAATCAATTTGAGAAAGGAGATAAAATTATCATTAACGAAACGTTTAAAGAGATAAGTTCAAATCTTAAAGTTTTAAGCCTTGAGTATAACAATTTTAAGTATTTCCCACCTGCAATTAGATTTCTCTCAAATTTACAAAACCTTAGTTTGGAGGGGAATGCGTTCATCTATATAAGCGATGAGTCGATTTTTGATCTAATGCAAACCAAAGTATCATTTCTCAACTTAAAGAAATGTGGACTAAAACGAACACCTGGGTCAATTTCAGAATTGCAGACATTGGTTGAGTTAGACTTATCATACAATGATATTGTCACAATAGAACACGGGGATATTCAGAATCTACCAATTTTAAGGAATCTTTCCTACAGAGCAAACCCGCTTAAATATATCTCTCGCAGTTCTTTTAATGGACTGGTGGCCTTGAAATATCTCGACCTTTCTGAAACAGGCTTAACCTACGTGTCTGAAGGAATACAAAATCTTTATAACATTGAAATACTGGACCTAACTAACACAAGGATGGACTGCACGTGCGATATGTTTTGGGTGAAACGATGGATGGATATTTTGGAGACTAGTGTAAGGATCGATGGTGATTGTGAGACTATAGACAGTTTGATACAGGAATATCTGAATAAAAGAGTTCCTCGTTGTCCTGATTATACGTTAACTGGATAGAGACAAAGATAGATTGAACTAAATTTACAACCTGCCAGCATCCTCGGGAACTACATTTTTAGACGCGTATCCAAGAACTTCACGAAACGATTCTAGAGGCTGCTTACTATTTGTTGTACGGGTTGGGGCTGATGAGTCACATTTTCGCGTGAATTTTAAGGCAAAACTTTTAATCCAGACCTTGATGTTATATTTAATGCATATTCAAAAATAAACAAGCCAGATCTCATATTGGGCGGGGGAAGGGTCATAAAATACCATCCAACTTCTCATCTGCAGCCGTGCATAATGTGAATACGACTGTGTGTAATTTATATATATATAATGTACATTGTTTTACATATGAATATATCATTTTAATTCATTTTTAGTTTTTGTTTGTTCACTGTGAATTTATTTCAAAAGATAAATATTCTAGGGGAAATAACTACTACACCGTGTCCGAATGATCGAAATTGAATTGTCGGTACGTTGCATTATTTCTAAAATTGCGATTTTGCTTGAGGTTATAACATAAATTAGGCTTTAAAAACGGCTTTTATATTGATAATTATGTGTATCATCATAATTACACTATTAATATTTAAACTCATCACATGAATCTGTTACTACAGCGCTGAGATTGTAAACATACCTTTTACTAAATTTATGCGTTATCTAAATTTTAGAAAATTTAAACCTATGAGTAAGCATCTTATATTGAAGGGACTACACTGAATTTTTTAACAGAAGCGACTATAAATATAAATAATATAATTAAATAAATAGTTTTTCGAGACTTTTATACCAATTAATGTAGGTCTAAACAAATAACTTTTGTGCAAAATTTCAGATCATTTGCAGGGTCATGACAGTTAAACAAATGTTTTTAAAAAACCAAAGTCTCCATACTAATAAGCTTGTTGCTCAGAAACCTCACCAGAAAATTCTTGAAAAATATTTGTGAATATATTAAGAAAGGATTAAGAACTGAACTAGGTAGTCAAAACAAAGCAATCATGATTAGAACTTAATTTTCCTGCTATAATAAAATAATTAATTTAAGGTGTCAATATTATGGTTCTTGGAAAAAAGGTTTTGAAATTCAATAAATTTATGATCAAATTATAACTACCACCTATAATATTATTATTAACTAAAAGTGAACGACAATGATAAAAAAAACTTGAAGTGCACAACATAGAAATTCAGATAGAAATCGGTAATTTTGTAACCGTTTAAAAATCATCGTTACTATGTTGATTGTTTGGTTTTCCCTTTCGTTCTATTTGGTTTTCCATTTCGTTTAATTTTTATCAGCATGTAGTTTGCATGTATAAAAACATGAAATAGAGTAAACATTCAAGGTTAAATGTAATATATGCTTATTAATATGTGTGGGTAACAAATAAAAGTGCAGATGGTAAGAACTTAACATTTGAATTAAACGCAGACGCATGGTCTTGGTCAATAAGTTATTTTGTTTTTTGACACATTGGCAAATTATGCATGTGGTAATATGTGAATGTTACTGTGCATATTATTATTTATTCCATGCACAATATTATGCACAAAACAATCGCCGACGATCGGTATTGACAGTGTGCTCTGGATTGGAACCCCCTAAGAACCCCATGGTCGCGGTAAAAGCCATGTGGTCAAAACGCACTATTAATGTACTGAAGATGCAGCAGAGTCACAGCATTAAACACACACGAATTGTCTGACATATAACTGACGAGACTATGACAATTCGAAGGGATTTACAGTACGACCAGGTATTTTCTTTTATGACTCTGGCGTTTCCAGGACGTCCTTAGAGTCGCTGTGAGGACGCAGCATGACGCTATAGAGAGCCCTAAGAACGCCGTGTAAACGCAGTAAAATAGTAACAAAACATACTAAAACGCATAAAGCAGATCGCATTGAAGATGTCCTGTGAAAGCTTAACAACGAAGTGCAAGTTTCATTTACTTACTTGGGGACATATGTGTGTCGGCTAACTATAATTTTGATTTTTTTTTTCAAAACGGACTTTTCATAAACGTACTTAAGGGCATTTGTGTGTCGGCTAACTGAAATGTTGGTTTTGTCAAAACGGACTTCTTAATACGACTATGGCGTTTAAAGAAAAACAAAAACGGTTATAGCTTATATAAACTCTCAAGCATTGAGTCCGCATTTTGGGCTTCAAATGATGATGCAAGTAGGACCCCAATCAAAGATTATTAGATTTACCAGTTAAACCCCAAATTAAAAAAAATCTTTAATTTTGTTTACAATTTTACTAATTTGTATAGAAATGATTGAAACATCGCTTTAATAATTATTTGACTGTTGATGATAATTTATTTAGGTTATTTTGGTTTCACTATAGGCACTCTTTTAGCCTGTGTACCATTGCGTGACCATGCATTTATTGATTATTCAAATACAACCTGACCAACATTATTTTAACATTTAGTTTTATTTTTTTTACCTGACAGTACGTAATAACGTCAATATTAGCATATTATAACTCGGAGGTCAATACTTATTTGCATGTTTTTAACCAATGCTTCTGCAGCTGTTTTAAGTAAATAAATTTCAGTCAGTAAGCACTTCAAAACGGACATTTTTTTAAAAATTCATAAGTACATGTATCTTGTATATAACTTATGTAACAATAAAATATCATAAAGATTTCTGGTTATAGATTCCTTTACCAAGCAAATATGATTTCTTGAGAATACTCTTTTATTCAGGGGAATAACATTTCAAAACAAGGAGTGTCCCCCATTAGACTGATATCTTAACACCATGTTCATTCATGTGCTAAATTCCTTTGGGCAAATGCTATTTCACTTGATTCTTCACTGCAATTCACCGATGATTGGAGAATTGATACCTGTTGTATCATGATGTTATCTAAACTTAAAAGCCTAGCTGACTTTGAAATAGTTATCTTATTCATAGCACTCATGTTGTTAAATTATATCTTTAGTGACATTATGCTCATTTGTTTTTCATTGTCAAGTTGAAAGGATGATTGACCAACTATAATTGATGTAATATGTCTAAAATGTATTAAAAAGACTGCTCCACTCTTTTTATAAATTGAATTTTACAGGTAAATTCCGATGAATATTTACAGAAATTTCCTTGGGTCAAGATCGTTATTTATCGTCGAGGTAAATTATAAAATTGAAAAGAATTACGTGAAAATGTAAACATATTTGGACAATCACTCACTAAAATATTTTATATACCCTTGAATGTGCAAAATGTCACTTTTATTTATATGACACAATATAATATTGAATTTAAAATTGTTGAGCGTCATAAACACAGCAGTTATCAGGGCACATTATTACACCAGTGGATTACTTATTGTATGATAAAATGTCAATTCTTCTTCCTGTTTACACACTTTTGCTGACTAAATGACAGTTGATTGGCGGTATATAATAAAGTTTAGAACATTACATTAATTTTTATTGTAGCTTTTAATGTCAAGATTTTGCACATTTAAAATCTTTGAGTGAAATAATGATATTGTTTGATACAAGGTTTGGTATGAATTAAATAAGTGTATGTAAATTGTAATACATATTGAACAAGAAGCTGGCGGTAAATGTCAATATAACCATTATATGAGTAAACTTGGGATAAACTAAGAAGTCATAGTTGGTATCATTATTTATGCCAAAAGCCCCATTAGTAATTAAGCACATTTGTATACTTTCTGTTTCTCGCTTTTTCGGAAAAAAAGTGGATGTATAAATAGGCTTCGTCCGTCTGTTCAGTTCATAACTCAGGCATTCATTAAAGGACTTTGAAATAACTTTTCACAAATGTTAACAACATTAAGACAGACAAAGTGTCATGCCAAACAACCAGACATCTGACTCCATGCCGATGATCACACTTTGAGATCGAAGATCAATACTGTCTAATGGAGGGTACAATTCGTGCCCGGTCCATAACATGTTTGTCCATTAAGGGATTTTGAACTAACTTGGTACACATTCTCACTATATAATACAACGTGTCATGCGATGCGAAACAAAAGTCAAACTTGAAGATCAAACTTAAACATTGTTTGATGAGGAGTATATTTCTCGTCCAGTTCATTACGTTTTCATTCAACACGGGACTGCTTACCATAATAAGACCATGTGTCAAGATAAGAACACTGACCCCTTGCTCCAAGGTCAAGGTTACACATAAAGCTTAACGTGGTCTTTTATGAGACTTTTTATTCTAAGGTTTTTGAAATAAGTTGCAACACATTCACCATATTCACCATATTAAGACAATATATCATGGACAAAACCCTAACATCTATCAAGATCAAGGTCACACTAGCAGGTTTAAGATAAACATGGTCTGTATGTTCCTTGCCCACAGAAAATCTCCCAAAGTATTTGAGATATTCAAGTGAAACGTAAAATATTAATAGGTAACAACTAGAGATAGTGCACTGTTTAAGAACCATAGCATCATCATAAATAATACATTTGTCTCCCTGTATGTGTTTATCATTAATTCATCCAAACTTTTCAAATGCATTTCAATACACAGAGGAGGAGTTATTTCAATCTATGTCTATAATGAATTTATTGTACATGTGCAGATAAAGCATTTATCCAATCGTAACAACTCGGCAATCTCCGTCAAGTTCGCGAATTCTTGAAGTCGCTCGAGGTGTTCCGATTGGCATTTATCAAGATTTGGCAATGTGAGTCCAGATCCATACCTCAAACCTTTAAATAATGTTGTTGTTTGCTTCATGTTTAACTTCCTTTAGGTTGGCGAGCTGATGTTTCTACAAGACAATACTTTAGTATTAAACATAATATCGTTTTATTCTAGCAAGTTGGTTGACAAAATTAATGACCATCACTATTAATGGCTTTCATGAGTCATTGCCACAATTAAGGCATTGAGCGGAAAGGAGAAATATGTTTGTATTCATTTTACATATCATGAATTTTACTTCTGATTTCTTTACTTAAAATACATGAGGGACTGTCGTGTCAAAATGGTTGACATCACTCTATGTTCATGAATTAACAAGTCGCAGACATAGTTATCCTACCTAACGCCAATTGTATTTATAAATGAATGTGTATATGGACCAAGTTACATAGTATCAGTTTGACTTTACTTTTGGTGACAAAAAGGCAAAATTCTTTCAAATGTTCACACTTTATGTTTTCAATTCTAACATATTTTCTTTTATAACATTAATAATGGACAGTGAAATACTTTAATACATGTAGCCTGTTAGTATACGATGTTTTTTTCCATAAAATATGAGACCTGTATGATGAATATCAAGCATGATAAAAACTTTTACTTTTTATTGATGATTTTCATAAAATTGAACAAACGAATATTAAA